AAACAAAAACAAACAGAATAAACAAATGACAGTCAACCCGAATAATAATAAGAAGAAGACGAAGAAAAAAGAAACAAGAAGAAGAAGAAAGACTGTAGTAAGGATCTTTTAGCTGGAACGCTCTTGTTGTAGTTTATGGGCACCGGTCTCTAGTGTCGGTGGTGATGCTTTTTTGTTTTTTGTCAGCGGCCGAGCGGGAGTTTATGTTGTTGATTGTGTATAGACGTGAGGTAGCCGCTGGGTGATGATGTTAATGATGTTAATGATGATGATGATGATGATGTGTGATTGTTTATACTGTATGTGTGAAGGATACTGGTACTTTATTATTATTATTATTATTATTATTATTATTATTATTAAGGTGTTTATCTTCTCATTAAGTATCTAGGTACTATATAAGATGTGTGTGTGTGTGTGTGTGTGTGTGTGTGTGTGTGTGTAAATGCTCCTAACCTAAACTCATCAGACTTGGGTTAATTGGTGATGCGCTTACACACACACACACACACACACACACTACCTTTATAAACTATTTCAATGGAGGGGACAAGTGCGTTTACCACACTGGACATCCCTGCCTTGGAATTCCCTCCTTTCCCGACTTTCCCTCCTTTCCCGACTTTCAACATCGGAGACGTACCCTGTATTTAATATAGATCTCTACAATATAACACGGAAAATAATTATAAAGCCAATAAGACTATACCAGATATATTAAATAGGACATGCCGTATAATAGCTTTCATTACAACACTTACGAGAATCATTAGCTAGCATGGACACTAGGAACTGCTGCTGCTAGGAACTGGGTCATTGATATGTAAGAGTTTGTACTGGAGAAATGGAGATGATATTTCCTGTTTCTCAGCCTAAACATTAGCTAACACCATCAGGCTTTAATACCAGGCTTCAATACCAGGCTTCAATACTAGGGTTCAATACTGTACTTCAATACTAGGGTTTCAATACCAGGCTTCAATACTAGGGTTCAATACTAGGCTTCAATACCAGTCTTCAATGTTAGACTTTAATACCAGGCTTCAAATTCAGGCTTCAATACCAGGCTCCAACAACACCACCACCACCACCTCCTCCCTCAAACACCTGTGTTTATGCTCCATGACACAAGAATGGGCAGGATTGTATTTCTCTAAGTATATTTAAGTAGTTATAAGTAAACACATTAAATATGATGAATGGAAGGTTTTGTCCGGGTGGTGAGGTGTGGGTGGTGAGGTGTGATATGTTAAGGTAGATTAGATTATGTAGTGTGTGTGTGTGTGTGTGTGTGTGTGTGTGTGTGTGTGTGTGTGTGTGTGTGTGTGAATATGAATTTGGATTTGGATTAGGTACTAGATGCCAAGTGTGGATACAGCCTTAGTATATCAGCTATCTTGCCATCAGAGATAAAGTGCTGTGCCATTGCTTACACAGTGTGCTTGGATCTATCCCTATAAGGTTTTATTATATTTACAGTCCAAGAGGTATGTAGTGTTGGAGTGTGTGTGGCCATATGTCTGGCCACACACTTTAATCTGGTTCACACAGGATAGAGCTCTTCGTGATACAGTTGAGAAAGTATGGGTTTGAATCTAAGGAACATTTTTTTTTTTTGGTATTTAGAAATATAATATGTTGTGTGTTTTGCATTTGTGGTGGATGTACTGTGTGTGATGGCTTTTGTTTTTACATTAATTGACGTCACAACCCGTTCTTACATAACACTGGTGAATTAATATCAATCCGTTCGTATATAACAATGACGTCACAATCCGTGTTTACATGTGTCAGATAGCTCGCCCAACCAACAGCTTTTATTCCTGGCTTAAATCCACTTGTACGTCACCTCTTCCTGTAAACACATCATGACGTCATCCATTCCTGTAAACATACTATGACGCCACCCCTCCTGTAAACATACTGTGACGTCACCTCCTCCTGTAAACATACTGTGACGTCACCAAGATGGCCACCATAGAACACTATCCAAACACAAAGAAAATATCTCAATTATTTTATTTTTTTTATATATGTTATCCAGTTGTTTAATAGACCGTAGTTATTAAAGCCAAGAAATACTAATAAATAAACAAGAAGAACGAAGCGGTAGAAGAGAAGAACAAGAACGAAGCGGGAGAAGAAGAAGAAGAGCTTAAGTAAAATATCTGAGTGGAAGACAAGGCGGCCATTAATGTTCCTGTAATGTATATCTTTATCTTATATATTTTTCATTAGTGTTAGTTCTCTTAAAAGACAAAAAACAAGAGAGGAAGAAGTGTTTTAGTGGCCCTTTCATGCTCCATCGTCCGGGGTCACACCTTGTAAATGTTTTATGTAACCTTGGGAATGAGTGCTGATCAGTGCTTATTGTTGCTGTTGTTGTTATTATTATTATTATCATTATTATCAATCTTATCTCGGTCTTAATACAGGACGACAGTTTGGTATCGTGATCAGTCAGTCGTTCCTTCTTATCCTACAGGTGATCAGTGGTGGCGGGCGTATGACTAATATCCTTTACCTCACCTAATGTAGTTCCTCTTATTGTTTATCGCTCTATCCCCCGGAAATATCTCCCAGGTGTGACGATTGTAGGGCCAAAGGTGTGTAATGAGGTGTAAGTTGTGGAGGCTGACAGGAGAGTGTGACGTCATAGTATTTTTACAGGAGTGTGACGTCATAGTATTTTTACAGGAGAGTGTGACGTCATAGTATGTTTACAGGAAGGGGTAACGTATAACTGGATTTAAGTTATCAAAAAATATAATCTAATAAATAAACTTAAACCAGCGTGGGATTTTAATTGATATACATTAATAAATTATAAAGTGAAGTAAACGATTCTTAATATTGATAAACCACGAGACTGATGGAACACCTGTGGTACTGTTGTTATTATTTCTGATTACTTGTAAAATAATCCTTTAAATCAGTGGAACATCTGTGTGTGTGTGTGTGGGGGGGGCACTTGTGGGAGTTGATACAATGTGGAGGTCAAGGCGAAGTGGTGTGGGTGGGAAGGAGGGAGGGAGGGAGGTCACACACAGACGATGATTGACGTGGTACAAGGGAGACGGATAATTACACGTCTCAGTACACACACACACACACATACACACGTGCATTAAAACAAGGACATGCGGAAGAATGTAAATATATGCATACATACCCGGTACATATATATATAAACATACACATATACAGACAGACAGACACACACACACACACACACACACACACACACACACACACACACATGAACACCTATATACAAACATCACCTGTCTTTTTTGTTAATTAGTCAAGGTCCCCGGTGGTAGTGGAGTCATCACCTGGTTGCTTTACTGTCTCCTTACCTGTCCTCTTTACCTGTCCTCATCACCTGTGTCCTCATCACCTGTACCTGTGGCTGTCACCTGTCACCTGTCCTCATCACCTGTCCTGTCCTCCTTACCTGTGTCACCTGTCCACCTTACCTGTCCTCACCTGTCACCTGTCACCTGTCCTCACCTGTCCTCCTCCTGTCTCATCACCTGTCCTCCTCACCTGTCCTCACCTGTCCTCCTCACCTGTCCTCATCACCTGTACGTCTTCCTTCCTATGAGTCAAATCCAATATTGTTGTCCATGTTCTTCATAAAATGGACATAAACTCAATTCTTTTTTTAATTGTATACCTTCAGCGTCACATCCATCCACTATTGGTAAACACACGTGGGAAAAGTAAAAGAAAAAGTTGTTCTAATTGGATCTCAGGGGCTTGGGTTTTAAGGGTGATGTCACATGTAGTATTACCATAACTGTAGACCCATCAAGCATGACAAACAGTGACGTCGGATGTAACTTATAAAGGGTGGGGGGGGGGGGCAATTGACTAAACAAACCAACAAACTGACTATCAAAATTAACACTCAAAATAATTACTCTTATGTTATTCCACTTAATACAATAACATTAAGAATGATTTATTAATTATTAGTCACTTTAAAGATATATTCCTATTTACTCAAGTTAACTATCGATAATACACAATGTAGGATAATTAAGTTTGTTATATATTCAGTTGTAAAGTCATCCCCTAAAAACTATCTCAACTTGGGGTGATCGATAAATCCCATAATGAACACTGTGACTCCTGTTGTCTCGGTCGGGTTGTCAAAATCCTTCGTCCTTTGTGTCATATTGTTTCAACCCAATTTGGTATAGATATTTTTTTTGAGTTGCTGTACATATGGAGATTATAATACTTTGTTTATATAATACTTACAGAGTATTATAATGAAGCAGATAAGGATTATTTTATAACACTATACTGTTTTAATGGTAAGATTCCTCACAATATATTAGCAAGGTGATAATTTATGTTATGACCAGGTATAGTAAGTTCAGGTGTTATGTAGTTGTAGTGAGGTGAAACAAACCTCCATATAACGGACATCTCTCTATATGTAATAAGTTAGATGGTTTTTTTCATATCTAACAGTCTTGATATAGTGGACTTTTATCTCTATATAGTTTCGTTAAATTTATGTTTCGTGGTTAATCTGAAGGTGTGTGTGTGTGTGTGTGTGTGTGTGTGTGTGCGTGTGTGTGTGTGTGGAGTGAGTCATACATTAAGCTCGTGTGTTACCCTTCTTCTGTCGTAAAACCAAGTCTTTTATTTACAATTACTTCCCGGTGAGTTAGTGACGTGTGCTGACCTGTAATTAAAAACCCAAGACCAGTGACGTCAACACACTGCCAAGAAATCACGGAGAGAGAGAGAGAGAGAGAGAGAGAGAGAGAGAGAGAGAGAGAGAGAGAGACCCATTAACACCCGATATGACCCACAAACTAAATAAGAGGAAGGATGAATGACGTCTGATGTAAAGTTGATAATGTTAACAGTCAAGGTAAACAAGTTAGCCGAAATTATGATAATGTTGTTTAATGAGCCACGAACCGTGTTATCCTACAGCCGCCAGGAGGGTGGAGGCGAGGCGGCAGTATATAGAGGAGAGGCCAGCGGGTCACCCCACCACAAGCAGTGTATCTTCCCTCACACGCACCGCCGCCTCCCCTTCTACGTGTCTCGCCACACACTCCTCCTATACCAACCTCTAAAGGAGAGTCACTCTGTCCTGCTCCACTGTACAGGCCACAACCTTTAATCAGCCTGTAATTAAAAAAAAAGACTGATCATTTTGTTCAAGGGATCTTAACTATAATTACCTAAAACGTCATTTGTTATCGGTTTAACGTCTTGGTTTACTGAGTATAACAAAGTATACATTGGTATATTATTAACTATAAAACACTCCAGTATATACGTTGGAGGGACCCTTGTGGAGTGAGTGGCTGAGACCCGGTAGAAGTAGTAGTGAGTGACCAGTGCTTGACGCCTTCACCACCACCACCACCATGAGGACCTCCCTCGCCCTCCTCCTCCTCAGCCTCGTCCCCTGCCTCGCCACCTCCAGGAAGGAGTAAGTACACACACTTTTAAAAAATTAAGACTATTAAATTTATCACAGACACAACCAAAACTTTATATCTCTTGTTACAATGTCTGTCTGTGTGTAGAGACTCATACTAGGTTTTGAGTTGGGAATTTTACAGCTGAGCGTAAGAGAGGGTATAGATACACTTAGCCTTCAGGACACCTCACACTTTCTCTTAAAAAAAAAAATAATATTCTTGCCAACAACAGAACTTGAGTCAATGTGTTATATGAGACCAGAAGCCAGAGGTTAGAGGAATGTGATTAGGTGTTTGTTTTATTAGTGTGAGTTCTGTGGTTATAACGAAAAAATAAATTAACAATACCGTATGAAATTTATCTGTAGAAAGTTAGTCAAGTTTTGTTATAATGATTCTATTTAGAGTTACGCTTATAAAGAAGTGATTACATTATATATTAAAACCATTAATAAATAAACTCATAAGAGAAGATAACATTGCGATATCAGATCATAAATATTATGGAGGATAACAAGCCTAACTTAACTCCGATGATCCACTTGAATGATAACCACTTCTTAAGCTGTTATCTCGTTATCTCACTACACGAGTATAATTACAACTTTATATACCAGTACAGAGTTCCACGCAGGGAATATTTCTTAGGTCTCGTGTTGATATATTAATGGGAGTAACATAAGCGAGGGGGAGGTAGTGAGGTTACTGTAAGATGTCTGTTCTCGGCCGGCCGCCACACAACTTGATACTGACTGAAACATATGAGAGTAGTGCTGCGTGTTTGTTTACGTTTAGAGAGTGTCTGAAGTTTTTTCTGCATTAAATCTTTAAGTGGATAATTTTTTCCTATTGTGCGTATAGTGTCTGAATGAAAACTAATTTTATGTGGGTGATTTTTGTCGATATATGTCAGGCGTTTTAGACAATCATAATATTTAACCTTAAAGCACAACATATATTCTCACGTGTTTCTGGGAAGTAGGACTCGAACCCTTGACATATTCGTGAGAGATACGCGCGACAACGTGTTATAATTACATGTTGCAATTATCCCTGAACGCAAGTGTGTGTGTGTGTGTGTGTGTGTGTGTGTGTGTTTTCAGGTGAATATTTTAAGGGTTGTTACTATGGAATTTGACAACTATTCAGATATCGGTACATCTATAGGTACTTGTGGTGATGGGAATAAATTAAGCTTCCAAACCTTGTACTGATCTGAGAGAGAGAGAGAGAGAGAGAGAGAGAGAGAGAGAGATTGCAAACACTGAGGAGGAGGGGGGGGGTAGGTGGGAGAGGTAGGCTTTGCTGTACCTTTGGTGAGATAAACGAATGAGTTGTGTTTCACGTGGATACAACACCTGTTTAGTACCTCCAACTGGTGGTGTTACGGTGGAGACAGGCATCTGGTGGTTAAAACTCGTAAACTGCAGCTAATTTGGAGTAATATTTAGGGAATAATTATGGTATTTGAGGAAAATATGACGATAATATTCACTATACCATATAAAAAGGTCACAGAAGGATAACAATTATTAACTTTACGAAAGGGATATTCTTCAAGATTCCCTCAGTTGCTAATACAGTACTGAGTCATCACGTTAAGTTACTATGGTGGGGCAGAGGGCACAAAAAAGCGCGCGGGTTTGTTTGTTTACATCCACGGAACGACACGCGCGTCAGTCACAAATTATGATCAACAAACCGACTATATAAGTATACTGAACTATTACACTGATAAAACAATCGTTACACATTAATAAAAAGTCTATTTAAATATATAGCTCCCTGTACGATAGAGAAGCCATTATTTAGTGTTAATAGTATTTATATGTGGACTGGAGCATCTACAGTACTTGACACTAAAGGGGTTGGAATGTTTATTTTCTGACTGGATGTGTGAATGTTATCTTGATCCTCCTCTCAGCCAGTAATCGGTACCATGACACACAGGACACCCAACAGCTAGGATTAGGGCTTGGCGAGGCTTGTATTCACGGTTTCTTGCATCTTTACATAATGCCAGTTGAAGATTTGACACATAATTGTAAAGTGTTATATATTTTTTTTAAGATTGGTTGTTTATGTAGGTCCTGTCATGATTATTTTACTGATGTTAATGAGTTATTTGTGTTTAATAATTGTTTATATATGTATATATGCTAGGTTTCATTAAGTTTAAATTAGATCGGGTTAGATTAGGTTAAGTTAGACCAGGTCAGATTAGATTAAAATAGGTTAAATTGGGTTAAATTAGGTTAGGCTGGGTTATGGCCAGTTATTTTGGGTTTGGTTAAATCATATTAGGTTAAATCTGGTTAGGACTGGTTAGAGTAGGGTAGCTCGGGTTAGGCAAAGTTAGGTTAAATTAGTTTTTGTTAGGCTAAGTTAAATTTGGTTAGTTTAGGTTAGGTTGTACAATAGATTAGGTTTGATTAGGTCGAGTTGGGTTAGGTTAAGCTAGGTTAGGTTGGTGTTGGGTTGGTTTGAGCTAGGTTGGGTATGGTTGAACAAATTTAGGTTAGTTTCGGTTAGACTGGGTTAGTTTAAGCTAGGATAGGTTAGATTAAATTTGGTTAGTTTAGGTTGAACTAGGTTAGGTTAAGTTAGATTAGGTTGAACTTGCTTAGGTTAGATTAGGCTGAATTGGGTTAGGTTAAGTTAGATTAGGTTGAACTAGCTTAGCTTAGATTAGACTGAACTAGAATAGGTTAGGTTAGGTCAGGTTGAACTAGCTTAGGTTAGATTAGGCTGAACTAGGTTGGATTAGGTTATGTTGAACTCGCTTAGGTTAGTTTAGACTGAACTAGATTAGGTTAGGTTGAACTTGCTTAGGTTAGATTAGACTGAACTAGGTTAGATTAAATTAGTCTAGAATACGTCCCACTTACGTCAGGACAGTCATACATACATCATTCGTAACACTAACTTAATTATTTATATGCTTCATTAAATATGTAAATAAGTCTTAGTGGCTACATCTTCTTTACAATGTTTACCTACCGATTAGACATGAACGAACGGCGTGTACGTTACTTAACACACTAGGCTATTTTTATTCCTCCCCTCAGCGTTTATTCTCATGTTAATCTGTTATCTATCATGTCTGTTGGTCTGAACTTGTAGGAAAAATGAACTTGTAGCATTTGTAGTTTTTTAAATTTAGTGAAATATCTGTTTAACGGACTACATGGAGAGGAAAATCCGTTATATCAAGTGTCCGTTATATATGAAACCCCTATCTAACGGATTACACGGAGAGAGAAGTATAAATCCGTTATAGGAAGGCAAACTACTCACGTGATTTGTGACGTTATGAGGAATCACATTATGGCTCGTGATTGGGTGATTATTGACTCTCTAATTAACCTAATCTAATTTAACCTATATCTAACCTAACCTAACTACCCAAATAACTTATATAATAATAAAGATGGTTTATAATAGCTCTTAATCACTCATCATCATTATCATCACTTAACTATCTTCCTATGTGGTTCCTGTTAATGTACACCCCAGAACGTGATTCCCATATACTCAACAAAACAACAACAAGTCACTAATTTTCACCCGGTACAGGGATCGAACGCGGGTCCTCTAGTTTATAAAGTATAGAACGTGATCCCTGCAACCACCACCACCCAAAGTGACTTCCATTAATCATATGTACAAGAGTTTATCATTACTAGATACAAGAAAGGGGAGGAGTAGGAGGCGTTCATCGTGGTGTTGGGTGTGTGTTGTGTTGTGTTGTGTTGGGTGTGTGTTGTGTTGTGTTGGGTGTGTGTTGTGTTGTGTTGGGTGTGTGTTGTGTTGTGTTGTGTTGGGTGTGTGTTGTGTTGTGTTGGGTGTGTGAAGGGAGAATGAAGTCGACCATCCATTGCTGACTCTTGTTTTTATTTCCTTAATGACAGAGAGAGAGAGAGAGAGAGAGGTGGAGGAATGTAATGTATGTATGTAAGAGAGAGAGAGAGAGAGAGAGAGAGAGAGAGAGAGATGCTAGCTAGTGGTGGGTTATTCTTGTTATCAGTCGTCAGGATCACGGTCGTTAAGGAGGACTGAGTAAGGGCCCATGTCGTGCTCTTGTTAACTTGACGAAGGGAAAGAGGAAGAGGAGTAGGAAGGGGTCCCGTATATCTTGGGGAAAAGGGAGAGTCAAAGAAGTAGAGGAGGAGGGATAAGAGAAGAGGAGGAGGGGTAAGAGAAGAGGAGGAGGGGTAAGAGGACAAAGATGGAATGAAGAAGAACAAAGAGGTAAGAGGAGTTTTGGATAGGTGATAGGGCGGGTGGTAGGGTATAAGGAGGGTGGTAGGGGATAAGGAGGGTGGCAGGGGATAAGGAGGGTGGTAGGGGATAAGGATAAGGAAGGGGATGGTAGGGGGATAAGGCGGATGGTAGGATAAGGCGGGATGGTAGGGGATAAGGAGGTGGTAGGGGATAAGGAGGGTGGTAGGGATGAGGAGGGTGGCAGGGATAAGGAGGGCGGCAGGGTAAGGGGTGGCAGGGGAGGGTAGGGCGGTGCTCCTCAAGGACTCACTCACCTCCATTGTTCAGATCGTTGATGACCGACCATAATAGTGCCGGGGGGGGTGGGGCGCGTCTGTATGTGGGTAAATATTACTACGTTAATGACTAATAATTTGTGTAAGGCGAAACACTCTCATGGTCACACACACACACACACGCACACACACAAACAAATATTTTCATGTGTATTCAAGCAAAAAACACACATACATACATACGCTCGCATATATGTGTCTTAAGTATCTTGGTAGACGCCATGGTTGAGGTCTGAGATAAATGGTGTTAGCTTTCATAGTTATGTAACGGGTGACGACACCACTAGACCCTCCCTCTGCTGTTACTCGGTGTTAAGTAGGACGATCATTTAAGGGGTGACACAGATGGTAGGATTGTTTCTTAGAGGCGCGTCACCTTGGTTGCTGAGCTCAAGAGGCCAATACGGTATCGGCAGAGTGGTCTGCAAAGGTTGTCCGTGTGGCGAACTACGTCTAGTGCGGGAGGGGCGGCGACAACGTCTTTCCTACCTTAGCCTTTGCCGTAATGTCGTTCAGCCTTACAGGTATTTTGCTCTGTCTTGTGTAGTACTCTTCCAAACGTTATGGTGTGGAGTGATCGCCTCCCAGGTGCTGAAGTCGACACGACACTTATCCAGGTGTCTTAAAGACTACAGTATCCTTTTGCATCTTCCGTTGTCCGCCGGCATTACCTTTATCATTCTTTAAATGACTGTAGAGTATATCTGCCTTGGCAGTCTACTGTCGTGCGTGTGGGTAACATGGCCAGTCCAACGTAGTAGTTCATGGACGATGTCAGCTTCGAGGCTCCTACAGTTGGTGTCAGCGAGAGTATTGGCATTTGTTCTCTTGTCTTCCCAGCGAGCTCGAAGTTCAAGTGCCTTGAGGTGCCTCCTGTATGTGACCCATGTCTCACTGCCCTACAGCAGGGTGGGAAGGATCACAGCTCGATATACGTGCAGCTTCACTGATAGTTTCTGCAGTCTGTCAAAGGCTTGAGACGCACTTCTGATCCCTAGTTGGCTCTCTTCATAGATGGCCGCGGTGGTCAGGTGGGAACCAAGGTACTGTGCTGGTTAACAGTGAAGAGGATGAAATAGGTCGAAACTCGAAGATAGTTCAGTTATTTTACAACACAAACTAATTCAACAAAAGGGACAACAGTACCATAAGCAAAAGTAACATGTAAATAAAATACATAAACTCCAGGTCCGGCTTTCAACAGGTTTTTGTTACGAGGGCCGTGTATGTGTTATATGCATACAGTATAATAAATAGCCTCAGCACGCACGAAGCCTATTTGGTGTTACTGTGGGCAAGGACCCCCAGGGAGCAACATCATTCACACCAAACCTCACCGAAGATCATTGGGTTGACCAAGTTAAAAAGTCCGGCTGGCTTGTGTTTATTGTCCTAAATAACTATTTTGAACAGAAGCTATATTTACCCGGCCCTTGCAAATAAATTGAAAGTCTGACCCGGCGTCTTGAGCAACATACAGTATACCATTAAAATTTAAATCTCGTTCATGTCGTCACCGGCTAGGGGGTGGAGGGAGGGGGGGAGACGTACGCGATCTTGGCAACAATTTAGTGATTTTTTTTTTTCATCGTCCAAAACATGATGGAGTTTTAAAAGATTACTAGACTCACCGCAACTTTAGATGAACTTTACGATCTTTTAAATACTTGATGTCCTTTTAACATGTTTGTAACTGCGCCTGAACTATTTTTTTTTTTTTTTTGGTGAGAGGATGTAACAGTGGAGACATCGGTTCTTGTGGTGTGCTGGTGGTGTAGTTGGCGCCATAACCAGTAGCTATCACACGAAGCTCTATATCATTGTCATATGTAAACAACTTTCATTTGTTTAAGTTCACTTGTCAAAATGAGTCGAAGAGTTTATACTACATTATTCATATTTTATTTCTTATATTCATTCTTATCATTTGTTAAGGATGAGTATATGTAGAATAAATATTTTCTTGTGTATACCACCACCATCAGTTTTAGCTATTATTTAACATAACAATACGCGTATGTAAACATTTATCGCGTTGTGGTGCATTATTTTCCCTATGTCATTCTCTTCCATAACTATATCGTCACAAACCTCGTCAATATATTATGCTACATTTATCTTAAAGTCTAGTGTAAAGGAAACAGTCTGTTGTGCGTTTAATTCAGCGGCGGGATTGATGCTGTAACATGTCTGCCTTCATCAGTCAGTTCCTCCCTGACGCCACGGGGCACTAGGAGAATCTATCATCACTGCTTGCTTGTTGTTACGTCTTGATTTCCTTACGATGTACACGACAGACATATTAACGATTTATTTCGGTTGCTTAAAAAACTAATACCTTCCCCTATAACGACATACAAAACAATATTTTTCCTATAACTTAATATACTAGGTAACGTTATTCACCAATATTTTAACTGAACTCTTTTTGTAACGCTATACAGAAAAGCTTCACTTGCCTAAAGTACGACTAAGCTTTCGTTAAATTAGCAGTACTGTAGCGGAAGTGGTGGTGGTGGTGGTGGTGGTGGTGCTGAGGGTAGTGGTGATGGTGACAGTGATGGTGATCATGGTAGTGATGGTAAGTACTGTACTATACACTTCATGCGGACAGAAATGGTCGACAAAGCAATTAATTCACCCGTTTTTATAACCCAGACTAAATCCGGGTTGTGGGGGGGCGGGGGAGTTGGCGTCAACCTTACGACCCCCACCCACGACCTAGTGACGGCAAGTGTACTGGTGACTGTGTGGTGTGAGCCTGGTGACACACACACACACACACATACAGATGGAAGGAGGGAGAGGGAGGGAAAGGAAGGAGGAAGAGGAGATACTGAAAAGAGTAACAACTCAAATCTAATTAACCAAGCGACGCGTCCACCAATTACAGCGTTTTTTTAACTGGTCTACTTCATTATACAAGAAGATAATGTAAACAACTAGCCCAGACGGTGCCTCCTCATTCAGACAAAATAGACACGGTAGAAGTCATCACCGCCTGCACCCTCCCAGCCCCTTCTGCTACTTCTCATCGTGTATGCATTATGCTCTTCATATATGCAAATGTACTTCTTAGAGAAAATTAACCCCGGGAGGCATGAGGGCGACACAGGCTTCAGGATCTGCATGATTATCGACTCAAGATGCCGCCGACAAGGAGGGGGCACGGGGGTGGGGTGGGGTGGGGGTGGGTGTTGTTAGCGAGGCGGCTGCTGTTGCTCACCCATGGCTGTATTACCTCTCCTCTGATTCTGTTAGTTCTTCTCTCGTCTCTCCTACATAACTTTCTCTTATTTTCTCCTTTAGACATCAGTTTTACTCAGTTTTACGAGCGCCGAACTGACTGAAGGACTGAGAGTGCATGTTTCCTGCCCAGCGCTGCCTCTCCGACATTCTTACGATCCATCCCGTGATTAATGTTTAGTAACCAGTGATTATTATCCATCTGTATCTGTGTATTATATTCGTTACGAGCGTTTATTCATTATTCGTGTTACGATAGCGATGTTTTTTTTTTATTGGGCACGCCCCTACATCCTTGTGTAAGGTGAAGCGTTTACAGCGCCCAACAGGGAAGCATGCTAAGTTCATGCTTGCCTTTATGTCTCATGAGTTAAGGGCGTAGAAACCTGAAGAGTCAAGGGCGTAGAAGCCTGAAGAGTCAATGGTTTATGTCAAGTTATTGGAACCTCCAACAACTCCCTGAATACGAATTCGCAACTTACAACAGGTACCTACTTTACTGCTAGGTGAACAGGGACTAATGGGGGCTAGGAAGTATGTCCAAACAACTTCCACCGGCCCGGGAATCGAACCCGTGACATCTTGCTTGCGAGGCAAGAGTGATACAGCTTCTACCTCACTGGAACAAAACACGTTATGCGTCTCAGGGCAAAAAATAATAATAACCACATCTTAGATAGACAACCTAAAACGTATTCTCATTGACGATTTCTCTTCTCCCAAAACCAGACTCGTCCGAATGTGGAAATAAAATAACCAGTTTAAACTATACCAAAAATTCTTCAGCATAAGTAACAAGAATAAGTTTGTATTTTTTTTATTATTTCATCAGTTATCAGTTTACTAGCCATTCAGGAGGTTGGTCTGTGATTTGTTACTTTATTATGATATTTATTGTTCAGTGTTCATACAGGAGGAAACTGCAGTACCCGGAGAAAACCTGTCATGTTTGGTAAGGTTTCATACTGGATAACAAAACCCATCTCACATCTGTCCCGGCCTGGGGATTGAACCTAGGACGGTAATAAGAGATACGTTCGTTACTGCTGCTTGTGCACCATTAATTTAAAGTCACTAACTCCTCAAATTCGTCTCTTCTTCCACAGCCATTATAGATTCCGGGACGACATGCCAGCGGACGAGGATGACGACCATAACAACGGCTACAGCAACAGTATTCTGTCTCTGTCACGCTGCCGCCACAACTACCACGAGAGGACGGAGGCTGGCATGAACCGTCAGATCAACTTCTTCATGCATGCTGGATACGTCTACAACAGCATGGTGAGTGGTGAGGGTGTCTGCTCTTTTGTGTGTGTTAAGGGATCATTCCAACAACAGGCCGATGAAGCAAGAGTTAGAGGAGGAGGAGCCTGTATGTTATGGCCTCCTCATAAACCAGGCGCCTTTATTTGCCCAACACTTACGTACACTTCTACGCCGCAGCACAACACACGCATTAAACTGGTTCTGAAACGCTGAGGCCCTAAATACCTATATGGTCGTCATCACACTCAGGCGAGGCAGGTTTGAGGCGTCCGTCAGGGTATATATTTATGCAGTTTTACCTCCTGAAGGACACTGAAATTTGGCCTCTGACGAAATCGAGAAGAACTTGTTGTGGTGTTGATGTTTTACGAGGAAGGATTTATAAATAACATCGGTTTGTTTTGTTATGGTCGATTTTCATTTGTTTTATAAGAGACGAATGATTCCCCTATTGATAGTGTTTATTGTTTTATCGTTCAGTAAACGTGATTGATATTAAACTAGGATGATTAAACAAATAGTTGTGTCTAGTTTATACGGTCTTATCATTTTTATCATTAACAAAGACTATATACGCGAAGAAGTCGTTCAAATCCCGGCATAAAATATTTCCACTCGTCTTCCTCCTCCTCACCCTCTCACCCTCCTCCTTCCTCCTCTTATTCACCTCACTCCCCCACCTTTTCCTCCTCTCCCTACTCTTCACCCTCACACCCTGCTCTCCCTCCTATCTCACATCCTCCTCACTCCACACCCCTGTCCTCCTAACCTGACACCCCTCTCCTCCTCCTCCTCCTCGCCCTCACACGTTCCGCCACCCATCAATTTTGTCTTAATGTCCAGTTGGCCTTGAGGTAAACAAACTAGAGGAGAGGAGCAAGGGAATACCTCCTCCTACTTCTCTCTCTCCTCCCACGGCGTGTTGCCTCACCGACCTTGGTAATATGATAATTGAAGAGTCCGGAAGATAGATAGATAGATAGAATGAGAGTTAATCATAAGTTCACAGTGCTAACAAGGGAGAAATAGAGATTGAGACAGAGAGAAAGAGCCACAACACTCCTATAGGACATGACATAATCCAAGGACGACTCCTACAAGTGAACCTTACGTCAAATTCTTCCAATTAATATGTGAGGTTTGATTGTCTGAAAGAAACACGAGACTTGCCTGCTTGACGCGCTAGGTAGACGATCCAACCACTGTCTGGCTGTGACCTGATTGAGGGAAGGACAGTTTTAAGGCGATTCTGTCATCACTAGTTGTCGCCAGGGGAGGGATGATGATGGCACTGATGGAACTTTTTTAGGGGTAATTAGTGGCACCCGACGCTCATTACCAATTAGAGTATACAAGAGTTGAATCTTCTCCCGAGTACGACAGACGATAATGCTGCCTGCTATCATCACCCAGTCTCGTCGCCACCTTAGGTTAATTAGCATTCAACATTATTATGAAATTCTCTCTCTACTCTAAAGATCTTAAGAGGTATAGGAGGAGTAAGTATTTTTCCTGAGATAAAGACAAAGTTAAATGAGGAATATAAATAAACTTAACTAAATGTTTTCTTTATGTTGTGAATTAAAGTGGGAAGAGTTTGTGATAATGACTCACTGGCGTGTGTGTGTGTGTGTGTGTGCGTGCGTGTGTGTGTGTGTGTGCGTGCGTGTGTGTGCGTGTGTGTGTGTGTGTGTGTGCATCAGGTGGCCATTATAGCATTATACACTGGCCGCACTAACCAATGAATCACCATTAAAAGGAAAGAAAATGACGAGAAATATTATCTACCTTAAAGAGAATATATTAAGGAAATGATAGACCAGCGTTAATAAGGTGTTGGTAGAGAGAATATAGTCTTTAGTAATGATGATTAACACACCTGAACGCTCTCCCCACACCTGAGAGTCATATCCCAGGTGAGGGGGGGCTGTCAAGGGTGTTGTGTTGGTAAGATGCTAAGTGGAGGTACTACAGTTTAGACCAACCTGAAAGTGAAGAACCTTATTGTTTTGGATATATTTTCTGTAATTCTAGGCTGTCGTGGCTCCTGGGGAAGTGGTTAGGTGAGACTTACTTAGGATATTGGTGTTGGAAGCTGGTGTAGTTGGGTGAAGAAAAATGAAGACTGGATTGTGATTTTATCTTCTGAGAGACTGTAAGAGTGTAAAAGTTTGTGTATCTATTGATGGACTCAAGATCCGTGTTTCAGGTGTTGGTGGTAGTGTTGATTCTGTTTACTGGGAGACTAGGATGAGTATAGGGCATTAGACTAATACGAGGAAGTGTTTCATGACGAGGGTTGGTGAGTATAGTTCTGGAGGTGAGTGCAAGAAAGAGTATAAGCAACACACACATCACAACATGGGATCTCAGTCTCCCTCGTGCAGTGAGTCAGGGCGGTGTGAGAGAAATTAATTATCATAGATTTTGTGATATTAATCTAGATAATCTGTTGAGATTAGAAGTGTTAACGTTTGTTGAGAGAGCACCACGGGGCAGCCTGGTGTAGGGGGGTGAGGGGAGGGGGTACGTGCCAGCCTGTAGGAAATTAATGTAGGCGGCTCCTTGTGTTGGTCGGGCGTGATTACCACGAAGCAGCGCCTGGTGGTTTTCGTCAGCCAAGGGGGCGTAACATCTCGTGACTCAGGCGCTGCTAAATGCGGTCAGTGGCATGAAGGACGCCGCTCACCCTGTACTGGTCATCGGTCAATGGTCCTCCCCCCCACTACCCTGTCTTCACGTGGGTCCTGCTGCCTCTACGTCGGTTTTGTTTTACTGATGCGACGCGATGCTCTACCCTGTCGCGTCGTGTAGCCAGAATATGCTCGGGGTCCTCAAATTCCTTCTTCCATTCAGTAACTCCTCAATGGAACTCACTTTTAGATAACTCACTCATGACCACAAGGTGTAGCCTCGTGTGTCACTCTGTCACCGAGACACATTTTTCCCCCTGACGAAGGCCTGATGGTGGTGTTGACGGTCTCTAGAGATGAACAGGGTCCTCGTTGAGCCCGTCTGTCTGTCACTGTCCATACGTTACCCATGTGGTCAGCATTCTAATATAGCTTTAAAAGAAAATAAGAGATAGAAGGAAACATGAGAATAAAAGAAACTGAAAAAAAGAGATTATATGAATACGAAGGAGGAGAAGGAGTAGATAATGAAGAACAAAAAAAAACACTTCCTTTTTCTCAGTCACTCACCATAACCCCCACCCCTTCACCTCTCTCCCTCCGACAGGCACACTACTTCGGCAGGTGTGACGTTGCGCTGCCAGGGTTCCAGAAGTTCTTCCAGCAGTTGACCCAGGAGCAGCGGGAACGATCTGAGACCCTGATGAATTACCAGAACCTGAGGGGCGGCTTCATCACCCTCCAGCCCGTGACTGCACCCAGCAACTCCGAGTGGGGCAGCGGGAGAGACGCCATGATTCAAGCCTTAGACCTGGAGAAGAGTGTCAACCAGGTGAGAGAGAGAGAGAGAGAGAGAGAGAGAGAGAGAGAGAGAGAGAGACCATGAGCCTTAGATCTGGAGAAGAGTGTCAACCAGGTGAGAGAGAGAGAGAGAGAGAGAGAGAGATAGATTCAAGCCTCTGGAGAAGAGTGTCAACCAGGTGAGAGAGAGAGAGAGAGAGAGACCATGATTCAAGCCTTAGACCTGGAGAAGAGTGTCAACCAGGTGAGAGAGAGAGAGAGAGAGAGAGAGGCCATAAACTGCATCAACTAAGTGAAAGAGAGGTAACACAAACCTGGGTATATCTCATCCACTAACACTATTTTATCTTATTATCGTCTGATGGACTAAGATCACCCTCACGTGTTATCTGATAATAATAACATAAATAACACTTATATTTGTTTACCATAAAAAGAACAATAACTTTGACCCAGAACAAAATAAAATGGATCCTAAGTACATAAAAGTTAACCTGGACTTTATACAACAGTAGAATTATCGTAGTAATACAGTAGTTGTAGTGAAGTTTGTTGAATACAATTATACTGTATATGTTTTATGTAGGAGTGAATACAATATCTTTTCTCATGTGTTTTTTTTTTCTTATTATTGCCATGAAGGAACATATCTTTACATACATACATACATACGTACATACATACATACATACATACATACATACATACATACATACATACATACATACATACATACATAATACATACATGCATGTTCCCCACACTCACTCACTGATTCACTCACACACACCTACCTGTTGTTCACCTGGTACTGTTCTCCCTCACTGAGTCACAGGTGGTCTGCAGGTGTTGACCCGGGATCAGTCTTACCCTCAGCCACGTCCCTTGATCACTGTGTGTGTGTGTGTGTGTGTGTGTGATGGAGGCCTGTGTACTGTAGCAGTGTAGGGGAGGAGTGTGTAGTGTAGGGGGTGTGTAGGTGTTATGGTGGATCAGTACATCAAGAGGGTTGGTGTGGTAGAGTACAGTTAGTGGGGGCGACACTAACGCAGGACCCTCCCCCAGGCGCTGCTGGAGCTACACATGGTGGCGCTACAACACGAGGATGTCCACGCCGCTACCTACATCCAGACCGCCTTCCTCAACCCCCAGGTAACACGCCCACGCCCACTTACAACCTCCCATACTGACTTTAACGCCCTCGCCTGCTTCCCTCCTTCCCTACGCTTACTGACACGCCCTTCACCCAAACTAACTTTCATCCTTTTCAAATTACACTCCCATCACCACGCTTGCCTGCACCATCGCCCCAAAGTCACACTCAAGACACCAGCTAGTCGACCCTCTACTGTCAGGAGATTTTGGTACTAACTCCGGGTTCCATAATCACAAAGATTCACACGATCGACATCCCTCGTATAACACACACACACACACACACACACACACACAAACTCTCTCTCTCTCTCTCTCTCTTAATTAGACCAACAAACTAACAAGATAATTAAAATAGTGATAATTCACACTAACATTTTGAACATTTAAACTCTTCACAACATAATGGTGATATTATCACCATTAACATATTCTTGATCAACTTGTTGTGTTATTCTCACTGTTTTATTGTGTGTGCACATATGTGTGGTGTAGTGGTAAGCATGCTCGCCTCGCAAGCGAAGGTTCGATCCCCGGGCAGGATGAAGCTATGGACAAGTTTCTTTACGCCATTTGCCTCTGTCTACCCAGCAGTAATTGGGGACCTGGATGTTAATCGATTTGCGGATCGTGTTCCGGGGTAATGGTTAGCCAGTGCAGTTGGCGAGTTGTCCGGTCTTCTCGGACTACTCCTTGACACTGGGTCATACAACTCGGTAACTCAGGGTGTGGTTGTTGTGTTGGCGACAGCTTCTACACCTTAAACAAATTCACGCCTAGGTGGCCCTAGGGCCGGCCATCCTCGTTACACGAGGGGCAACCATTATTGTGTGTGTGTACTTCACTATAAATACACCAAGAGTATTCCAGTTTAATTAATAGAAGAAAACAATTACAAGATTTTCACTTTCACTTATTTTTACGACGATAAGAGAATACTAGGACATATTATAATCTTAGAGCAGAGAACACGTAGCTCAGTGTTTGTCGCGACCCCTGGCGGTGAGATCCTTCCTTATCTCTGCCTTCCTCACGCTAGCATTTGTTTTTATGTCTATAATTCTCGGGTCATCAGTACTGTTTGATCCTAACTTGCCAGCCTCACTTGAACACTAGAGTGAGTGAGTAAATGAATGAGTCACTGAGTGAATAAGTGAGTGAAGGAGCGAATCAGTGAGTGAGTGAAGTTCTCCTTGGGACTCACAATGTTGATAGTCTCCTCCTATAAGTTAGTTTGAGATCAGAACAAGAACTCCCAAGTGACTCATCATCGGTATCTGAACGTCGACCTCATTATGATAAGCTACTCAGTGACGGGCGCCGAGAAAACATGTAACGATTGATGAAGAGAAATTAAAAAAAAAAACATATCCACAGTTGACTCGTTGCTCTCAGTGGTCATAAATGTCAATGTTATTATTATTTAACCGACCCCTTAAGGTAATCAGTCACGTTTGGTTTTATATCAGCTACAGTATGAAAGGAGGAATATATATTACAAACAACAAATAGTTTATTTTATAGAGTATTACTAAATTTGTTCTTTACCGAAGCTCTAGAGAATCTATCCTAGTCACCCAGGAGGATTTGGCGGGTATAGCTGGGAGACGCACACAATGCATTAGTGATGATACAACGGCCGATAGGTTCTTGATGCCCGCTCTCCACTCTCTCTCAGGCTTTGAAATTAATGTTTATTCTATTTAATTTAGTTCATACTGTATTCTGTAATGCCTAAAACCATATCAAATACATACGATTTGATAAAGGAAAAACAAAAATTCAATCTTATCCACCAAAGACACACACACACACACACACGTACTCTTGACTGGTGGGTGCTGTTGGTAGTCCAGTGTGATTGGTGATCTCTGCTTCCACTGTTTCAGACCCGATGGAACCTTATACTGCAGTGTGTGTATAAATAGCCTCTTGCTCCGTGGCGCCTGGCAGTGTGTTGTAGAGCTTCGGACGGCGAGTTACTGTACAGTCCGGGAGGAGCTTAGGGTAGGGTAGAAGTGTAGTGTGTTAGTTCAGGTTTACATCTAGGTGGTTAGGCTCGGTTTACAGGATGGCTGAGTTAACTTAGGTCAGGTTAAGTTAGTTTAGATTCAATTAAGTTAGATTAGTTTTAACTAGGTTAGATTAAGTTAGGTTCGACTAGATTCGCGTTAAGATAGTTAATCAGCAGGTGAAATACACAAGGGGAGCGGGGTGAATCTTCAGGTGATCCATGAGAAGAATAATAACACTAATATAACACAAATCAAAACTATTATACCACTATGTTAAGAAAATAGCCTCATCCATTATAACTTTTCACTAATAACCATAACCTAACCTAATCTAACCTAACCTAACCATAATCTCGCCTCAAAACACTATCAATTATAATCACTATCATTATTCAGCTTCACATTGGATCTCACCTGTACAAAGGCGACCTCATTAACACGTTGGCAGGTAACTAAGAGCACTGATTATCACTTACGATAAGACGTGGCTCAGGTAGATTTTGTAAACACCTGAAGTAATTAGTTTTTTGTTGAAGGCAATTTTCTCTATAATATTCGAAGCCAAGTAAGTGAGAAGTGTGTGTGTGTGTGTGTGTGTGTGTGTGTGTGTGTGTGTGTGTGTGTGAGTGTGCGTGCTGCCTTGACATTCACCAGGTGTACGTGTGTTTGTCTTCGGTGATTGGACACGAGGGGTCACTACATTCTTGTTCTGGTCATCCTGGAGGCATCTGGTGACGTCAATGTGTGTGTGTGTGTGTGTGTGTGTGTGTTCTATTAACTGGCCATTGAACTCTACTTACACATATAGATATACATTATTCAGTATCTAGTCAATAAACTCTAAACTAACCTAACCTAAAGATACTAAGTGTTGTCAACGTCGTGTTTAAGTGTATTGACCTGTAGGTGTAGTTATTGTAGTTGTTGTTGTTGTTGTTGTTGTTGTTGTTGTTGTAGTTGTTGTTGTTGTTGTTGTTGTTGTTGTTGTTGTTGTTGTTGTTGTTGGCGCCAAGGGGGAGTCATACTTCGGTTACTTGTCATACTAAACATGTCACTCCGTCTAAATAATGAGTCTGTTTATTTTGATTCATTATAATTTAGTTTTGAATTTTTTTTTTTGTATTCCCTTTATGTAACTTTTATATTAGAGTTATTTATATATTTGGTAATCTAGATACAACAACATTTGGTACTTGTTAATATAAATACAACAACATTAGGTACTTGTTAATATAAATACAACAACATTAGGTACTTGTTAATATAAATACAACAACATTAGGTACTTGTTAATATAGATACAACAACATTAGGTAGAGTCTATTGCCCCCCCCCCCCGTGAGTCATTTCCGATCAGCCACTGTTGTTAGGCCGGGTCACTGAACTCTCACGCTGGTGGTCTATACGGAGACAACTTGCACCTTACCAGCAGCATTGAGCCGGGGTTGTGGTTATCAATAAACATGGTCTGAGTTCTCCCTCCTACCTCCTACTTCTTCTCCTCCTCTACCTCCTTCTCCCCCTCTTCTCCCTCCTCCTACCTCCTAATTTTCCTACTCTACCTCCTTCTCCCCCTCTTCTCCCTCCTCCTCCTCCTGTTACTTTTCCCACTGTTTGTGGTAATTAAACCTTAATAATTCCAACGATTAAAAGGATTACCCACACTTAAAAGGATTACCCACACTTTTTTTTTTTTTTACGGGTATTAGCCCACCCGGACACAGGTCACTGACCCACATCGGGGCCTGGGGGCCGAAAATGTAATAATAATAATAATAATAATAATAATAATAATAATAATATGGAACCATAAAGAAATTAAAAAAAAAAGATCATAAGTGAGAAACAATATATGTATGTTGTGTTGTCAAAGTAAGAGAAGCAATTGAGACCCTGCAATTGTGTGTAAATGAGGCAGAAAGTCAGATCAGTAACCTGGGACTTGGCCACAATTTTCGTGATGCCATATGGCAGCAGGGTCTACCATTAGACAACACATTATGCTTCCAATATCTTCCCAGGCAGAAGTACCTCCCTGTTTGGTAGCTGCCTTTCTACCTACTACCTGAAAAACATTCGCCCCCGGGTGGGCTCGAACCACCAACCTTTCGGTTAACAGCCGAACGCGCTAACCAATTGTGCCACGGAGGCTTAAGGATTACCCACACTTAAAAGGATTACCCACACCCGGGTGGGCTCGAACCACCAACCTTTCGGTTAACAGCCGAACGCGCTAACCAATTGTGCCACGGAGGCTTAAGGATTACCCGCACTTAAAAGGATTAACCACACTTAAAAGGATTACCCACACTTAAAAGTTATAAGAACATATTTTGAATTCTCCACTTAACTTCCTCATCTTCATTAACCTACATTATACTATTTTATGATACCGTAGACAATATAATCCTAGTATGAATGATTAATAAATTATGTAGCGTATGAGTTTTATTCCTGGGAGGGAAGGTGTGTGTGTTGTGTAGAGTCCTGTAGTGATGACTCCTGATTGGTGTGTGTTGTGTAGAGTCCTGTAGTGATGACTCCTGATTGGTGTGTGTTGTGTAGTGTCCTGTAGTGGTGACTCCTGATTGGTGTGTGTTGTGTAGAGTCCTGTAGTGATGACTTCTGATTGGTGTGTGTTGTGTAGAGTCCTGTAGTGATGACTCCTGATTGGTGTGTGTTATGTAGAGTCCTGTAGTGATGACTCCTGATTGGTGTGTGTTGTGTAGAGTCCTGTAGTGATGACTCCTGATTGGTGTGTGTTATGTAGAGTCCTGTAGTGATGACTCCTGATTGGTGTGGGTTGTGTAGAGTCCTGTAGTGATGACTCCTGATTGGTGTGTGTTGTGTAGAAGTCCTGTAGTGATGACTCCTGATTGGTGTGTGTTGTGTAGAGTCCAGTGACGACTCCCTGATTGGTGTGTGTTGTGTAGAGTCCTGTAGTGATGACTCCTGATTGGTGTGTGTGTTGTGTAGAGTCCTGTAGTGATGACTCCCCTGATTGGTGTGTGTTATGTAGGAGTCCTGTAGTGATGACTCCTGATTGGTGTAAAAGGTGTAGAGTCCTGTAGTGATGACTCCTGGATTGGTGTGTGTGTTATGTAGAGTCCCATGTAGTGATGACTCCTTGGATTGGTGTGTGTTGTGTAGAGTCCTGTAGTGATGACTCCTGGATTGGTGTAAAGCAGGTAGAGTCCTGTAGTGATGACTCCTGATTGGTGTGTGTTGTGCAGGAGTCCTGTAGTGATGACCCTGATTGGTGTGCTAGTAGAGTCCTGTAGTGATGACTCTATCGGTGTTGTGTAGAGTCCCAGTGATGACTCCCCATTGGTGTGTGTTGTGAGTCCTGTAGTGATGACCTTGTTACGTTATATTTATTATTTTTTATCATTTATTGTGCTTATAACTCCTATTCTTCTTATTATTCCATTAAAGTATATATTATTTTAGTAGTATGTGTGTGTTGAGCTGAGGACTGGTGATATATAGCCTTCTTAAACCTCACCCATGTCTCTTTTTCTCTTCCAGGTGGAGAAGATCTTCACTATTAGTCAATACATCACCAACCTTGAGCGTGTAGGGTCAGGCCTAGGCGAGTACATGTTCGATAAACTTCCCCAGAACTAGATCTTAGTACCAATAGAGCCAGGCACCATTTTCACCGGGACCAGGCTCCACTCTAAAGGACTAGGCATAATTCACCAGGACCAGACACCCTTCAAAAGTACCACGCTCCACTCTAAAGTACCAGGCATCATTCACCAGGACCAGACACCCTTCAAAAGTACCAGGTTCCACTCTAAAGGACTAGGCATAATTCACCAGGACCAGACACCCTTCAAAAGTACCAGGTTCCACTCTAAAGGACTAGGCATCATTCACCAGGACCAGACACCCTTCAAAAGTACCAGGCTCCACTCTAAAGTACCAGGCATCATTCACCAGGACCAGGCACCCTTCAAAAGTACCAGGTTCCACTCTAAAGTACTAGGCATAATTCACCAGGACCAGACACCCTTCAAAAGTACCAGGTTCCACTCTAAAGTACCAGGCATCATTCACCAGGACCAGACTACCATCACAACAGCCAACAGATCCGGTGCCCATACACCTGCTTGAAACAACACACTCATTTACACTCAACACAACAAGTTCTAGTGGAGGCGACAATAGACACAGGTATCAGAGAATCTTGTGAGGTTAAAGTTTATCTCTGTAAAACAAAAAATTAAATGAAACGAAAGTAATTACTAAGGAACCATTAATCAAATTGCCATTTTCATGTCTGAGGGCTGGCAACCGTGGTCCACATTTAGAGACAAAAATCACATATCAAGAAGCAGGTCCGTCTATGATTATATAAAAAATCATATAACTTAAATTTTTTTTACAAGTTATTTATAAACACTGAAAAAAGTAGATCTTTTGTTTTTTGAAGAAATTTTCTGAGTTTAAAAGCAACAAAAAATAATAAGAAAATACAAAAACACCATTTAGGAAAACTAAGCAAAAAAATATGAATGGTTGTTAATTTAAGACTGATTAAAAACACTTAAATATATATATTAGAAACAAATCTCTATTTTTTATGTCAAGCTTAAATACAGTACATATCTGTTGAGTTAATGTATATATTACGTCAGCAAGTTCCGCCGTCATGCTTGAGGCTGTTGCAAAAAAAAAATAAAAGAAATCCCTGCAACGTGCAACATAATCCAATACCTTATACATAAATTATCTTTATATCATTAGTGCCTTATATTATCTTATACTTTTGTACTTTCCTTATAAATATTACCTATTATACTGTTGGTGCCTTATACTCTCACTTATACTGTATTACTTTATCTCATCTCTTTATAATTACTATCCTAACTTATACTTACAACCCCTTATCCCTACCCTACCTTATACTCTCAACCTTTTATACTTACACTGCCTTATACATGAATTCCCTTATACCTTTCATCTTGAGCAAATTTATCTGAATTAGAAAAAAAAATGTATTCTCATAATTGTACTAGTGTAGTCATGTAGCCTCTTATAATTACACCTAGCATCTTTTGTTTAGTTAAGTTTATCCCCTTTCTTTCCATTTATATCCTACAAAAATACTTAAGATATATTTAAGTCTGTCTATCTGTCTATCTTTCTTTTACTGTCTGCTCTTTGGCACTTATGAGACATTGTAATATAGAGGAATTCGAATCTAACAAGAGTGAATTCTGGCGGGAGTTTAATCTTATCATTATGTAAACTATTCTGCGTCATATATTGCTGGGACAACATATAGCTTCATTTGCCTCTATCTAGGTATAATATTGCTTGTGTTTGGATTTAGATAGTATATATACACATTTATATATATATTTTTATGTATATTAGTGAATATTGACGTCTCCATGACAGTTATCAGAAACTCTTCTTACAGTAATCTATCAGGATAAGCAAATACTTTAAAAGCTGAATGCAGTGAGATGAAGAGTGAATTATTTCCTTAATATATGCTACAAATTATTAGTACACTATTATTAGTCTATTAAATATTAGTTTATGTGCAATATCTTGAAAAAATCACCGATACAAGATATTAAAGGCAGCTCTCATATTTTCAAAAAATATTTCACGTCTTGATATTATTGATTTATTTCCATTTCGTTTTGTTTTTATACATTTTAAGAATAATTTGAGTCTTTTTGTTGATATATTAAAGTCAAAACTGTATGTTGCTTTGTTGCTTTGATCTTATTATTTAGTTGTTGCAGTTACAGTAAATAAGTGTTGGAACTCCGCTTATTATATTACTAAATTCCTCCTGGAGAGATAAATTCGTAATTGGATGATATTTATATATATACAAAGATTTTAGTTGTGTTTTATTTATATTACATGACAGCATAGGTATAGCTGCTATATTAAAAACTTGCCTGATAATTGAGTAAAATTTTAGGCGCTTGATGTTTGAGCGGAGATTCAATGCCTTATCTTGTCTTGTCTGGAGGTGACTGTAGTAAAAATCTGGCTCATGTTATAGGTGAAGGAATATATTTTAGTATATATTTATCGTATGATGCTTTGCTATTTTTGTACGGTAGGCGGGAGGAAGGAACTATAACTTTAGAAAAATAATATTTTTCTCGAGGGGGGAGCGATTTGTTTTGTACAAATTAAACTAAGAGAAGATAATTACAATTATATCTAAATAAACCACAGCTTCAGCATTTATAAATGTTAGAACAATTATCTGTTAATACCTACATTTGCAAGTTCTATTGGTTGATTGAATTATATGAAGTGTGATAATTGATCTCTGAAGCATATGTTGTTATTAGGAATTTAATATAGCTTTCCCTCTGAATGTGTTCAAGTGTTTTATTATATCGATATATATTGTTCAATAAGATAAATTAAAACTGTGTGTGTTATTGTTCCTCTTGTAACCAGGATATGATAAGTAAAACTGTAAGTCTTTGGTGAAAAGGTGAACTGTACTTAACATATCTGCCAATTTTCAAGACATTTACTAATCATAATTTTGAATCCCGTTATACACTTTGGTATTGCTTTAGTCAATTACTAATCCACCTATAGTCGTTTGAGTATTTCCTGCGCTCGTTGGGGGGGTTGAGGTAGACTCTCGGCCGGGTATTGGAAGCGACGCCTAGTGTACGTTAACAGTGACGCTGGTGCACAAATACTCCGGTTTAAAGCAGTGAAAAACAGTGTATTTGGGTGCAAATCTAGATTTTCGTATACTCAGGTAACTTATAAGTGTTAATAGAACTTGGAATTGCACTAAGAAAACAACAAAAATAATTGTTAATTAGTTATAACTATGTTAGTGATGGGGCGAACAAGTGTTTGGGTGTACTCGAGGGAGAGACGCTATTCAAAAATATCACTCATTTCCAAAACAGAAAATATAAAATGATTTATGCATGCAATGTTGCCGTAGAGTTGACCCAATTAATATGAAGAATGCAGTGTTATGTGAGCAATATTTTAGAAGTGAACAGGAAGTTGGATATATAAAATAATTATGAATTATTGGGTTGTTATCTGGCCAAGAATGATCGGGATCTGAAACTAGATGCCATACCTGATATAAATCTACCAGTTACCAGCGGCTCAAGGATTTATGTTGCTGAAACACACACACACACTGCTGAAAGGAGTCTTCTCGGCAATAAAGGTTGGTATGATTTAATACTATATTAGATAACTTATGTTTCGAAAAGTTCAAGTTTTGGCCGCAACCTTGAGTAAGTGTTTACAAGTTCGTCTGTACGTGTTTTTTTTATTAAACGGTAAATATTTGGATCAAGTCAACCACGGAACTTTATATTGATTTGTGTATAGAGATAGAGCCAAAAATATTACTCCAGTGTTTTCGTCGGAAATTTATATTTTTCCATTTCGCTTAAAAATGCAATTTTGATCAGGCAAAGTGGCAGGGCTTTGAGGTAGAGTGATATTGTGGGGTAAAAAAGTGCAAAAAACTGACGAAACGAAACCTAACCTAACTATTACCAAAAAACTTTAAAGAGTGTAAGTCTTAAGATTAGGTGTCCGGGTTAACAAGCCGAGCTAAGAAACTTTTCAATAGTAGAAAAGTTCTTCAGTTTGTCAATAATATCCAATAAATGGTGGAGGAAATAAATTTTTGCCAAACATAAAGATCATCAAGAATCTAATCTAATGACTTTCAAATATCAGCATGGATGTCTAACCCAACCTAACATAACCAGAGAAACCAGTAGGAATTGACCTAATCTCCTATCCAGGGGGCTCTTCCACCTAACCTAACCCAGCAAGACAAAAGGCATATTTACTTTATGGCTTGCCTCCCTCGTGGCTGGATTGCTTCTGCCCATATAACGCCTTGACGATTGTAGTTCTCTTTACTTCATGCAGAATTTTTTTATTTGTATAATTCAAGCAGTATTATTATTTCTAGACGTTTTCAGGTGCTGTATGAGGGCTTAATTTGGTGTACTGTATTTCTTTACAGTTTGTGCTAGATTTTGCTGTCCAATGAGTTCAGGATAATCTGGTTCGTCTTCGTATACTGTATTACTTCTTAGGCTAGGCTGTTGTGTTTTTGGTTAGGAGTCATTATTTCCTTGTTTCGCTCCTGTTCATAGGTTTTGTATATTTTATTTACTTAAGGTTTAATGTTTTATATACGTATTTTCTTTCCCCATATCATGACTTATCCCCACTTTGATTTGTTTTTCAAATGACCAATATAGAGTTCCACTAATAATGTAATAGTTTTCTTGTGGTTAAGTTTAGGGTTAATTGTTTGTGGAAGAACCTAAAGTCCTTACTTTAGAAACAATGCTAAACGTTTTCTTACATCAACTTACAAACTATAATATTTTTGAAGCCGTAAATTTATTCCTGAGCAATTTTAGCAGTTTCTAAGTTGGTATAACACTAATAATTACGGCCTGACACCCACACACGTTCCAAGGACTGTGTCGTGTCAAACCTTTGTACCTTATAAATGTCACGAAACGAAGGCAAAATAACAATAGCCGACGTAGGATTATTGAAGGGAGATTAAATCAAATTCACCGCTTTCAATACAACTTCATTTAATAACACAAAAACAGTACATGAAAAAAAAAATAACTAAAACACAACTCTGACAATGATAATATTTCTCTTGAAAACAGTAATAATAACACGATAATACTGTATATACTTGACAACGAACACATTTTCATTTAGATGAGACTAGCTGTGGGGGATGACGCTTCACATTTAGAGGGACAACACACCTAAACGAACAACATCAACTTATAAGGCACTCAAAATAAAATAAAAATATCTATATGTGGTCCATGATATTCAGCTGCATGATCTAGCGGTTGAAACTGTCACCAGGGAATGCTATTGCGGGTCACGGATAGTTTAACTTACCTTGTACTCGATTAACCACCAGTACAAGTTAACAGCACGATACTCAGTACTTGGTAGCATGAACTTAATAGCTACTGTACGTGTTTAAACGGTATACTTGGTATTGTCTCCCCGCTAAATGGGACGTAATAATGACCAGTCTGGATAATTGGGACATTACTACCTGGATAAGTTCCATCCATGTTAGCAGTAGGGCATAGATGTTACATGTTAATACCAGGAGAAGAATATTAACCATTGATTTCAACATTAACACCTGTATAGTACGGAACCTGAATGATCTCCAAACATGTTGACGTTACATGTTAAAATCAGGACCTGGATAATGCTAATTTAATTTAACATAAGGACGTGTTAATAGAACTATAGCACATGTTAACATTAAGACCTAAATTACAGTACATGTGGACACTAGCCTCAGTACAGTACATATTGACACTAGCCTCTGTACCGTATAGGGCATGTTAAAACTATACCTGTACAAAATATGCAAGGTAAATCACGAACACGCGCTGGGTTAATAATTTTGTGTATGGGAAATAACAATGATAATATGTTAATTATAAATGGGTTAAAATATTCAGTTAATTGTGCCTGGGTGACATAACTTCCGCTAGGTTAAATTATTTAGTTAATGTAAATCTTGTTAGGTTAGTTTTTTATTAAGTTTGGTTAGGTTAAATTAGGTAAAATTATATTAGTTTAGTTAATTTAGCTTCAGTTAAATTATATCATGTTAGGTTAAATTAGCTTGTTAGTTTAGGTCAGGTGAGGTCAAGTTAGGTTAAATATGGTTTCTGATGTCACGCTAAGATTATTTTGCTATGTTAAAGGAAGAAAATAACCGAGATATATAGAGAAATTATCGTCACAATTTTCGTTTCCTGTATGTATGTAGGTATGTATGTATGCATGTATGTATGTATGTATGCATGCATGTATGTATGCATGTATGTATGTATGTATGTATGTATGTATGCATGCATGCATGTGCAACTCTCAGCTTAAATTTCCGGCCATTACCTTGAAAATTATATGAGCCAGAGTAGAGCCTCATTTATAAACTGCTCGTAACTCCTCTCATTAGATCCATCATTGTTAAGTGAAGCGGACCTTGACAATGATTATTATCTGTTGGTATGATGCCGCCCAGCACACACTTTGGTGATGATTTATTGGTGTTGTTGAGCAAGTGACAGCCTCGAGTGGTGTGAGTCAGGAGAATGTGTAGCTTGTAAGGTGATCCTCTTGTTAACGCCATCCGCTGGACTCATGGGTTGGCGCGTGGGTGTGTGTGTGTGTGTGTCTGTGTGTGTATGTGTGTGTGTCTATTTTCCATACCATCTACTTTAGCCCTTTTTTTTAATTATTGATTTTTATTTTTTTTACAATATTAGTTTTTTTTTCATCTATATTTATCATAATGTTCAATATCTTGGGCAGCTACGGTACCCTGTTAGTCTTGCTTCAGTCCGACATACGCTTGTGAAACTTGGCAGGTAGTCCAGACGATTACCGAGAACGAGATGAAACGGTTTAGGAGAAATAAAATATCAGAGGCCAACACCACGGACACTAGAATGAGTGCACTAATTTAGACAAAATTTTATTTGTAGAGAAAACAAATAAAGTTAATCAAGTTTCAATGTCAAGGAATTTGAAACTTGGACGAAATATAACATAACACGAATTAGTTTAAGTGAGAGCTGACAGGTAGAGTGGTAGTGAATGTTGATTTGATATCATTTTAGCGATAACAGGTCAAGAGGTGATGGTCAAGGTCAATAGTTCAACGAGGCGTTATGTTGTGATGATCATCTTTCTGACCGTGAATGTAGGAGGTGCCAATATAACGGGGTCAATCTGTGGATGTTTTGTAAACACTAGATCACGTGATCGTCGACCACCTGTGTTGTCAGCAGCTAAAGTGTTATTGTGTGATACTGTAGTTTTTCCTCTGTATTTTAAACTAAGAGTCAAGCTGCACAATATCTCCCTAATAACAATTAAAATTCCTAAATTTCTTGACACATAAATAATTACAAATCGGATTTCTTTATAAAAATTCCTGCGTATTATTTTGGAAGAGTAATTGTAATAAATACGAAAAAAGTATAAATTGTTGAAGATCCTAAAAAAGTGTGGAACTTCTTAAACATCTCTGAAAATGTAGAAATGGAGTTTACTTTATATACTGAGGGTGTAAACTTCCGAGAATATGTTGTAATACTCGTGTGGTGTGACCTGACAACAACATATCCCAGACGTACAGTAAACCTCAGTCAAACAGTTCTAAAATTATCAAACAATTTTAAAATTATCAGACAGCTTTAAAAACTAACTTCACTCACATACAGTAAAAATAAACAGAGGGATTATCCCATTTAGTTTACAATAATGTTTTTTGGTGTTTCATTTGAAAACTGTAAATACTGAAATAGTACAACAAAACAAAAACAAGCAACAACAATATTAAGATTACAAAGACAATATTTTTATGGTATTAACTATAATGTTTTGACTAGAAATTAAACACTTGGTGAATGATACAAGAAATTCCTGTCAGTTAATTTATCTGAATATATTATAAAACACGTTAAAACATTATTCATATCAATAGTTCATATAATATCTGGCAACTCACCGTGTAGTAAAGATGCCTGCTGACGCCTTTATGATTGTCCTAATTATTATATATCTTACAGTTCCATCACACTCGAACGCGACTATATGGGTCCAGTAAATGATTTTTTTCTTTTCAATTGTTTATCACTTAAAATAGATGCCAGTTAAAGTATTGTCTTAGTTTTTTTTTTTTTTTTATCTTTTGAGTCTCCAACTACACACAAAAAAAATATTGCACTATGATTGTAGAAGTTCCTTTGGGTTTGTAGCTCTCGACCACACGATGGGCGACAGGCGTAAGTAAATATGTAGTTTCATTATCTACGTCATCACAAGTCGGTGTTTCAGTCGTTTTTACACTCTTTTACATGTAATATTTTCTCACTGAATAGAATATGGGCATTAAGCCATTTTATACAGGAAATTGCGTGTTTTTTACCAGAATTCCTACATTATTTGTGCGTGGTGCTTGGTGGAGTGTATATAAATAACCAATGTTGACAGACACACGAGAGTAGACAACGCATTAATTTATCCAAAGTGTGTGTGTATAAAGTATTAAACAAAGTATAAAAACTGTGAGTATATTCTCTACATGTAAACACAAGGAAAATATCACACGTTTAAACAAATCTGGAGGTATAACATCACATCAGGATACCACCAGTAGGTACTGAACACTTCACAGAGTCATCATGTACCAACAACATAACTCTGTAGATGGAGGATATCACCAGTGAAGTGTTCAGACGGGAGGTGGAGCCAGCGAGCTGTTGACTGTGGCTGAGGGTGGAAACTGACCTGAAGAGTTGTAGAGACGCTCCGTGAGGTTAAGTGATCCTTTGGCAGCGGCATAAGAGCAGCGGACGTGAGTTAAGACACAGTATAAAGTTTAGATGTAGTTTACAGTAGTCCCATGAAGCTGTTGGTAGCGTCGATCATTTCGTTCACATGACAAAGATAATTAATAATGATATGTAATGAATCTAGCTGGAGTTTACAGTCACACTTGAACGCTTGGGGCAATTTGAAGTAGCTGGAGCTTACAGACATCCTGAAGCTGTCATGTTTCGGTAGAACTCCTTTAGAATTGGTTTAGAGAACTCGTGATGCGGTGTGGACCATCTCGTGGTGGATGTGGTTGAGGGAGCCGGCAGGGAGGAGACTCACGGGAGCCTACGGTAGATGGTGTTGTAGCCTGACCAACGCTCGACTCGGAACTTCTGCATGATGTCTCTGATCATGGACTCGTTTCTGGGGTGGTGCATGGGTATCTGCAGGAGACACAGAATTAATATTCACTTCAGTTACTCAAGGTCGCTTACTGACAATAACGTTATCTACGCTTGTGTTAGTTACTGTGTATATTCTCGTGTTCTGTGTTGCTATATGTAATGAATGAATGCTACTGGCTGTGCCTCGTGCATTACCTTTTACCAATGTTGTCAGAATCAACTTTTCATAACACTACCAACAACGTCAAGAGACTGGCTTTTAACTGATTGAAACTGTTTATTTAGCCAACAAAACACATATTACAATTCACCAACAACAATATTAACATGGCTTAGGCTAGTGAGCGCCCCGAAGTCTTGGATAAGTTCCCCTAACTAATTCATTCATGAGTCTTTATCCCGTTGCTAGTTTACCTGGATTAATAAGGAATAACACTGGATGAAATTATATACTTGTGACGTACTGAACACAACACGGAGTTAGTGAAGGAGTGTCCGTGAACGTAAACATGACCCAAAAGTTTCAAACAGTTCCCGTGGATGTCAAGAGTTAGCAGCCACACGATATTTTGTCCATCACAGTTAGTTACACTCATGGATCACCTGAAGATTAAACACCCTAACCTAACCTAACCTAACCTACCTATGGGTGATTGATTGTTGATGTAAAAAGGAGAGCTTGTGACATTTATACCCCCCAACACACCTACACCACCCCAGCACCTCCCCAACACACCTACACCACCCCAGCACCTCCCCAACACACCTACACCACCCCAGCACCTCCCCAACACACCTACCCCAGCACCCCCCAACACACCTACACACCCGACTACCTCCCACCCACCCAGCACCTCCCCAACACACCACCCACCCCAGCACCCCCCAACACACCTACACCCCCCAGCACCTCCCCAAACACACCTACACCACCCCAGCACCTCCCGACACACCTACACCCCAACACCCCCCAACACACCTACACCACCCACACCTCCCCAACACACCTACCCACCCCAACCTCCCAACACACCTACACCACCCCAGCACCTCCCCAACACAACTACACCACCCCAGCACCTCCCCAACACAACTACACCACCCCAGCACCTCCCCACTACACCACTTGCACTCCCTATCAGCCAACTGTTCCCCAACACAACTACTGCCCTCCATCAGAAGGATGTAGTAAAAGCCTTCAGGTTCCTCGAAAGGCGCCACCTTCACCAGGAACCGGATTTGATGACATTGGAGTCCAGCCATTGCAGTCTGCAGGAAAGCACGCGCTCCCGTCCACTGCTGCTGGGAGGGTGGCTGTTAGTATGGCGAACAGGTGTGTGTGTGGGGGGTGCATGTGAGTGTGGGGGAGGGAGAGATCGGGCCTATGGGAAAGATATATATTTCTAAACAGACTATAAACCTCTCGTTAGGTTTTTACACACACTGAGATATTTCATTGGAAATTAAACCAGAGAGAATATATCTCTCAAACGTGTGAGTGAAAAGAGTGAAAGTATATACTGTAGTCACTTTAACTCTCTACAAAATAGTCCGTTAATTAATTATATATATGAGGTATTAAGTGAAAAAAAGTATCATTGAATCTAATTAATTCAGTAATGGGGGAAAAAAGTGAAGAAATGTATAAAATAAATACTAACAAAAGATATAAATGACAGAAGATCATAAGTAATATTAACCTTCCATTCCTTTATAAGCTTGGCGTTAGGGGTTGACTCGATGCTCTTGAAAGCAGAAGCGACCACTATGGAATCAGTGGTGGCAGCGCCTTGTACTGGAGGCCTTATACACGCCACCTCCTCGAACATACCTGAGAACGTGACCCATACAGTTAACACGAAGGAATTAATACGAATACGTTGATAGGTGTTTGACAAGGAATTAATACGCATACGTTGATAGGTGTTTGAAGAATTAATACGAATACGTTGATAGGTGTTTGAGAAGAATAGAATACGTTGATAGGTATTTGAGAAGGAATTAATACGAATACGTTGATAGGTGTTTGAGAAGGAATTAATACGAATACGTTGATAGGTGTTTGAGAAGGAATTAATACGAATATGAACACAATCTTACACATCGGCCAAGCATATCAAGATAGATCACTCATTCCATCTTCTTTGAGTACTGTTTTACTATGTCCATCCAGCCCTCCAGTACTCGAGGTCCAATAAGGGTCTCTGTACTACCTCCAGATTTATCCCTTCCATGGAATCTATATCCTTCCATTTGACTATCTACGGTAATCAGTAATATTAATAATAATAATAATCTTCCCTTTCCACTTTATTTTACTTAAGCTGGCAAGAGACACATTCAACACTAACAATAAGATACATTTAACCTTACGTCTTTCTTACACCAATGCAAAAAAAAATAAATAAATAAAAAAAAATAAAAAATCTCGTTTATTTCTCCAAGCAAGATCCTCGTGACCTATTTTTAAGAGGTAAATGCCCCATCAGAGTCCCAGGTCGTCAGGTGGTGAGATCCTCGTGACCTATTTTTAAGAGGTAAATGCCCCATCAGAGTCCCAGGTCGTCAGGTGGTGACATCCTCGTGACCTATTTTAAGATAAATGCCCATCAGAGTCCCAGGTCGTCAGGTGGTGAGATCCTCGTGACCTATTTTTGAGGTAAATGCCCCATCAGAGTCCCAGGTCGTCAGGTGGTGAGATCCTCGTGACCTATTTTAAAAGGTAAATGCCCCATCAGAGTCCCAGGTCATCAGGGGTGAGATAAATGTATGTGCCCACCTCCCCGGACCACTGACCTCATCTGCCCTCCTTTACCGTCTACATAGGCCAGCGTGATGAAGTGGTGAGGAGGAGGAGGAGGTGAGGGAAGGAGGAGGAGGAGAGGAGGAGGAGGAGGATGTATGTAGTTTCTGGGAAAGGAATCACTGATCGACCCTATTTACTCCTGATCGACCCTATTACTCACCCTAATCGACCCTATTTACTCACCAATCGACCCTATTTACTCACTGATCGACCCTATTTACCTTAATCCCCTATTACTCACCCTGATCGACCCTATTTACTCACCTAATCGACCATGTTTTCAGGGCCGAGGGCGTCTGGCTCGAGGTAGGAATGGTTGTTGAGGAACTTGTTGATGGTACCGCTGTCTTCACTCATATGTAACACCGGGTACAGTCCTGCGGGAGGTCAAGGTGTTAGGTGGGTGTTAGAAGGTGTTAGGTGTTAAAGGAATTGGGTGTTAGAGGAAGGTGTTAGGTGTTAGAGGAAGGTGTTAGGTGTTAGAGGAAGGTGTTAGGTGTTAGAGGAAGGTGTTAGGTGTGGCTATGGGGGGAGGATGGAGGCCACGTAGTAGTAGTAGTAGTGGTAATACTAAACCAAACATACTTACCTTCCTTCTGGTAGGTTTGGTAAGTGAGGTAGTAGTAGTAATAGTAGTAGTAACAGTAATAATAGTAATAGTAGTGGTCTTAGTCGTCTTAGTAGGATAAGTTAATTTTAAGGTAATAAAATGGCGGCGAAGTTGTGGCTATTGGGGGAGGCTTGAGGCCATTAAAAAACAAGAAAAAAATAGTCTTATTAGTAGTAGTAACCAAACACACATACCTCCTTTCTGGTAGGTGTCGTAGTTCTCACAGATGGAGTGGAGGACGCCACCTGAAGGTAATATGGCCCGGCTGGCCTTGAGTAAGTCCTTCAAGGCCTTCTTCACGTGTTTCACCCCCATGGTCCTCCCCACCCACGTTACCAACACCTTCTGGCGGTCCTCATCCATCCTGCCCCTGCCGAGAGGTAAACAACATGAACACCTGGGTCATCTTAAGGGCAGTCATTAAGGTGTGAGTGAGTGAGGGGTGGGTGGGTGAGTGGTGAACGGGTAAGTGAGTGAGCGTACACTACAGATACACAACAACGGATCTCACAAAACAATATAAGAGGTTCCAATAATTTGTTTTTTTTAAGAGACTGTAGATGTTATGATATATTTTTAAGAATTAAATAAAAAAATTGTGAGGATTGTTTCAGAATATTTTGAATTATTCCTCTTTGGTGTAAAAATGTAAATTAAGTAGATGTGAGATTTTAATATATTCATAAGAGGAGATAGGAAGAATTTATTGTGTATATATTTTCTCTATGTTATACCAGACTTAGGGAGCCAATATGTAAATAATAATAATAATAATAATAATATAATAATAATAAGGATGATAATAATAATACAGTAATAATAATCTTAATATAATAAAATAAATTAGGCATGTAGTCATTTAGTTTCCGAGTCAAAAAGTTTAGAAATTGAATGAATTATAGAGGTTTTGTTGATCAAGGATTATAAACTTTTACTTTTTAATAACTTTACGAGATAAATGCAAATAATTCAATGACAGGCGAATAGAAGTTGATTTCTATACTGTTATAGTTGATGTGTGTCTGTTGTTAGTAGTATACAATGTTAATAAATAAATGAATAAACACACACACACACACACACATGTATATTATCGACAACAAATACTATAGATGATTACAATAATATTAAATTCCATAGTAGATGTTGAGACAGTTGATTATTCTTCCCTCCTCCACCACCTCCTTCTTTACTCTCTTGTCTTCTGTCTATCCTTCTTTAGGGTGTCAGGGTGTCAGGTTCTCAAGGTGTCAGATTTTCATGGTGTCAGGTTCTCAGGGTGTTCAGGGGGGTCAAAATGTCAAGTTGTCAAAGGTGTCAAGGTGTCAGGGCGTTACATCACCAGAAGGAACTTTGTTTACGATTATCGACCTCCTGAATTGAGCCATCTGTTGAGGTCAAAACCAGGTGTTGACGCTTGCCTCATTCATCACCCAGGGTCTTTCTCTCACAAGTCCCACAATGCTGGTCGTCTGTCTCATGGATTTACTGTCAGCTTGGCGTATACCCGGAGTAGTAGGAGGAGGAGGAGGAGAGAGATGGTGGGTCGAGAAGGTACTCCACTCTGGTATGTTTTTAATGATAGCTGGCAGGAAGGAGGGAGGCAGTTGGAGGGAAATTGTTATCACTTAATAGCCATGTTACGTATAGAGCTGTTGACGCAAATAAACACCGGTAAATAGGTAGGTAAGTGAATAAAGTGTAGAAGAATCAGATGGAAAGAATAGTCGCTGGTATGTGTTGTGCTGTTGGTGGGGGTGGCCGTAGCGTTTGTGTGTGTGTACCATGACAGTGTAGAGGTAGAGGTAGCGTGTGTCGAGGGGTAGGACCTTTATGCTAGTTTATACACGCAAAACATACGGTCCAGTTTTTTTTTTCTTATGAACCAGGGTAGTACATGAGGTAGTACATTTGCTGTGCTGTAGTGGTATTCAGTAACTAAGGTCTTTAACCGCGTATTCTAGGTTAATAAATACGATAGTCATCTACAATTAACTAAGAGATATATTATTGTAGTGTTATGTTACAGAAGATACCGGGAACACTCTAGTAGGGTGTGTGAAAATTTTTATACGCGCTGCCTTATGGATTGTTTATATTCCAGCAGCAACATTGTCCTGCCTCATTTGCGACAGACCGCGCATCAACAAGTGGGACGATGTTGTTATAATTCAGGCATCCGCGTGGAGAGAATTTGTGAAATATTTTGGCATATAAACACTTTAGTCACCGTTGTGGGACCATAATATTTATTTCATATTTTTACTTTTTCTAGATCTTTATTCAGTATGCTTTTTTGTACTTTTTTCTTAAATGATCAGGTACTTTTCATCATTGCGTATACTTGTTAATTAAAAAGCTTTATCGGGTTAAAAATACAAAACTGTTTGGAAAATAAGAAGTTTTTATTGCTGAAATAGTACAGTGTAGTGAATGGTGATTATTAATTCACTTTTTCGTTTATACTTTATTCAACATATTTTATTATTACAAACATTCAATATACTAATTATACCTTTATGTGGAGGTTATACAGGTAAAACTAGTTACGTGTTGTCAAATATATAAACTAACAGGTATGCACTGATGAAAAAACGGCGTCTGATTGGTTGATTCATTAACCATTCAAGAGGTGAGTTGTAGTCGGCTTGGCGAGTTACGGTATAATTTGAGTTGGAAATAAAATCGTCGTACTTGCTATGATAACTTTTAACTGTTCGCCGATTTCAATATCCTGTGTTTATGTATCTTAGCCAATTGACACCTGTTGATATTTTTATACACACGTGGCAACAGGGAACCAGTTTAGTGTGTTTATTGCAAGTTTAAAGTTGAATCAAGTGTTGTTTTTTTAGGGTATTTGAGTTTTGACACACACACACACAAACACACACACACACACACACACACACACACACACACACACACATTTTTTTCATTAATTGTATTTTCGTGACTCGTATTCTTTATTACAATCTCGAGTTACATTTTAAAAGCAAATATTAAACTGCATTTACATTTATCATGCCTCGTGTCCCTCATTAAATATAAATAACCTCAATTAGGATAGTTATTATTATTATTTTTTAAGTGCAATTCAGAACGTCACGCCATATTTACTTCTTGACAAAATATTGATACAGGGATAAAGGATTGAAATAACCAGTAAAACAAATGAGCAGAGGAACGAAGTAACAATGAACATACTCAAGTCTTCCCGCTCAGTGCTCGTGACTACCTGGCTGTACTGTTTGTGTTGTTATGGTAACACTGGTTGGCTGGCTGACTGGCTCTACTGTATTTGCACCATCCATCTATCATCTTGCATCATCACGTAGCAAGAATCGTCATAAATTCCTACGATTAACTTCCACCTAAAGGTCAATTGCAAGAACCTTCGTTGTTACACCATGCTGTCGTGTTTTACCTACAGCTGTCATGGTTATGGGAATCAAACTCAATAATAGTGTAAAATTAATTAGACATTTATTATGTTTTGATTTAGTGACCCAGACGAAATATATCAGAATATTATTACAACAATAACCGTACGTCTGGTAGCAACTCGCCTCTACCCACCTCGCCTTTTTTGTAAAAAATTTCCTGCTTGTGGGTCAATGAGGCTGGAGGGGCATTAATGAAACTGTTGATGCTACTAAATATGATATATTTTTATCATGAAAATTTGGATCTATTGTTTGTCGTCAATTTTCAACAGTTGTTTACCACTTATTCAAGTTTTCTTTAATTTCGAATGTCAAAGTTTACAAGACGCCTCCAGACGAAACGTATACGGTCAGCCACACAAGTCCTGATGTACCGTGTGTTGGTGACCATTGTTAGGTCTGTCTATTACTGACGCTATGCTGCTGAGTCTAATCTGAAATGGTGAGTAAAGACACCTCCGTTTTTTATTGCTACAGGGTGTCCATAAATGATTACCTTGATTATAAAGCATGAGGGCATACTGTTTTTAGGGTAATCATTTATGGACACCCTGTATTATAATATGCCGGAAATAAATGGCTTGGAAAGTTTGTAAGATGGAGGAAATGGTAAAGTAAGAGGAGGGAGGAGGTAAAGGGGTGGGGTGGGTAGACAGTAAAGGGAGGTAGGGAGCAGGAGGAATTCGAGTCATCATTTTGTCAGACTGTTATGGTTAGGTTAAGTTAGGTCAGGTTAGGTTAGGTTACGTCAGGTCGGTTAGGTTAGGTCAGGTTAGGTTAAGTTACGTCAGGTTAGGTTAGGTTAAGTTAGGTCAGGATAGGTTAAGTTAGGTCAGGTTAGGTTAAGTTAGGTCAGGTTAGGTTAAGTTAGGTCAGGATAGGTTAAGTTAGGTCAGGTTGGGTTAAGTTAGGTCAGGTTAGGTTAAGTTAGGTCAGGTTAGGTTAGGTTAGGTCAGGTTAGGTTAAGTTAGGTCAGGATGGGTTAAGTTAGGTCAGGATAGGTTAGTTAGGTCAGGTTAGGTTAAGTTAGGTCAGGTTGTTAGTTAGGTCGGTTAGGTTAAGTTAGGTCAGGTTAGGTTAAGTTAGGTCAGGTTGGTTAAGTTACGTCAGGTTAGGTTAGGTTAAGTTAGGTCAGGATAGGTTAAGTTAGGTCAGGTTAGGTTAAGTTAGGTCAGGATAGGTTGAGTTAGGTCAGGTTAGGTTAAGTTAGGTCAGGTTAGGTTGGTTAGGTCAGGATGTTAAGTTAGGTCAGGTTAGGTTAAGTTACGTCAGGTTGGTTAGTTAGGTCAGGATAGGTTAAGTTATCAGGTTAGGTTAAGTTAGGTCAGGATTGGTTAAGTTAGGTCAGGTTAGGTTAAGTTAGGTCAGGTTAGGTTAAGTTACGTCAGGTCAGGTTAATTTACGTCAGGTTAAGTTATAATAGTGTGGCCAACAAAAGGTATAAGGTAAATGAGGGTAATTGTTAAGAAGACGGACATCACCTTCTGTCTTTGTTGCTTTCTTAGGTTAGAATACAGTACCGTCCTGCATGTTATTATTAAACCTATATAAAAGCGATGTTTACCTCACCACCACCTCCACCATATTCACAACCACAACTACCACCATCACCACTACTACCACAACCACCACAACTACCACCATCACCACTACTACCATCACCACTACCACCATCACCACTACTACCATCACCACTACTACCACCACACCACTACCACCACCATCACCACTACTACCACCATCACCACTACTACCACCATCACCACTACTACCACCATCACCACTACTACCACCATCACCTACTACCACCATCACCACTACTACCACCACACCACTACTACCATCACCATACTACCATCACCACTACCACCACACCACTACTACCACCATCACCAACTTCACCACCATCACCACTACTACCACCATCACCACTACTACACACTACTACCACCACACCACAACTACCACCATCACCACTACTACCACAACCACCACAACTAATAATGATTAAAACAAGTCCGAGTATAGTTAGTAGAATAGAAGAATGCTCTACATTATAAAAACCGGTCACTTGAATCAATTATTATGCGCATTGCGTCTGGCGTACACTCACACACACACACACACACACACACACACACACACACACACACACACACACTCCACTCACTCACTCACCACTCACACACACACACACACACACACACACACACACACACACACACACTCACTCATTCCTCACACACACACACACACACACACACACACACACACACACACACACACACACACACACTCACTCACTCACTCCCTCACTCACTCCTCCTCACACACACACACACACACACACACACACACACACACTCACTCACACACACACACACACACACACACACACACACACACACACACACACACCTCACACACACACACGCACACACACACACACACACACACACACACACACACACTCACTCACTCACTCACACACACAGTTGGTGCACCAATAAGTCTCCACTGTGGAACATTGTGGTGCAAGAGACGCCACAAAGTTTATTAAGGTTCAATGTACTTTTTCCCTTTGTAATTATTTAGTGGTTATGGTTGATGGCGATTGTTGTAGCGATGGTGGTGGTAGTTGTGGCAGCAGAAAATGTTGCATCGGTGGTGGTTGTGGTAGTTAAGATAGTGGTTGGTTTGATGGTGGTGGTCAATATAATTTAGAATTTTGCCCAGCTAGTTTATTGTGCATCCCATACTTATCCTGTGAGCGGTAGTACAAAAAGGATTACAGAATAGAGGTCACAAAGGGTGTGTACATACCGGTTGACTTATTCACATCTGCGTGAGAGGTATTTCAGTACATTGTGTGTTTTAGTTCTGTACAACTTTAGTATGTCAGCTACCTTGTCATTAGAGATAAACTGTTATGTCATTTCACATACACTGTGGTTGAACGTGTCCCTAAAAGGTGGTGGTTGTAGTGATGATGGTGGTGGTAGGAGGGGGTGGTGATCGTGTTGTGATGGTGGTGGTGTTAGGAGGGGGTGGTGATCTTGTTGTGATGGTGGTGGTGGTAGGAGGGGGTGGTGATCTTGTTGTGGTGGTGGTGAATTTGGTAGGGAGGGGGGTAGTGATGATGGTGGTGGTGGGAGGGTGGTGATCTTGTTGTAGTGGTGGTGGTGGTAGGAGGGGGTGGTGATCTTGTTGTGATGGTGGTGGTGGTAGGAGGGGGTGGTGATCTTGTTGTGGTGGTGGTGGGGTGATAGTAGATCTTGTGTTGGTGGTGGTAGGGGTGGTTGTTGTGGTGGTAGGGTGGTTGCTGTGTTGGTGGTGGTAGGGTGGTTGTTCTTGTAACGGCGGTGTCTGATGTGTGTGAGAGAGAGACTCGCATATATTATTCTGTCTTGTGAGAGTTGCCAGCGTTGACATGATTATCAGTAACACTTGTTTATCCAACACACATGCCGGGGTAAACTATGTCGAGCTCACTGTGTTACTCTCTCTCTCTCTCTCTCTCTCTCTCTCTCTCACACGCACACGTCCTCAAAACCAGACACCTTTCACACAGTAGTGGACAGGCACGAAACAGTAAATATCTAATTAATATTTACATCTGACAAGAACGAGGAGCACCGAGGCGTGTCTGAGCTATATATATTAAAGTCAAAATAGACCCTTTAATAATCAATAGCCCGCTTAATAGTAAATAGCCCCCTAATAGTAAATAGACACTTTAATAGTAAGTAAATCACCTCTGTGGCCGCCTTCAGTACTTCCGTGTGAGTACAATACAGTTTTCATTACAGCTAAAAACTTTGCCAATTCGCTCTATCGTTGGACGCGTGTGTTGGTGACGGTAGAGGTGAGTTGTGGGTACGAGGAAGGGAAGTTATTGTTAAGAGCATTAGTAATATTTGTCGCGAGGTGTACAGTAGTGGGAGTGTTTTTGTGTTGTCGGGCTTGAAGATTAGGTACACCAGCTTGTTTTACCTTAACACTAACCTAACCTACCCTGTAGCCTGCCTAACTAACTGCCTAGCCTAGCCCTGCACAACACCACCTACAACCTAACCTACTACCTAACTGCCCTAACCTACCCTAACCTCCCCTACCCTAACCTAACCTAACCTACCTTACCCTAACCTACCCTACCCAAACCTAACCTAACCTAACCTAACCTACCCTACCCTAACCTAACCTAACCTAACCTACCCTAACCTAACCTATCCTAACCTAACCTATCCTAACCTAACACCCACAGGTAGCATTAGGGTAAGATAACCTTGATGGGGCTAATGTACAGGTGATTGGTGAGGCTTAGATTGTAACACGGGACTAAACTGGACCCCAATGCTTGTACAGTACTCGGAAAATATCTCTTTATGTTTACCGTAGAGAGATATGCTGGTTTTATTTCGTCACTTACTGTAGCAGGCGGTGTAGGAGGGCTTAGAGGAGACCTTTTGGTATTTGTCTATACTTTTGGGTGACTGTAGTAATGGCTGTCCGCACCCCGTCTGATAAGGCCTTTACCAACCCCCGAGAACTAAGTTTGAACAAATTTATCTCGTGCTTTGGAGAATCGTTTTGAACTTTCTACAGTTTAAACTGACACTTGGCCAGAGACAGAGGTAGATTATACACGCAGTTGAGAATTATATTGAAAAAGTTCATGAACGGGTGGGCAGAACAGCTGTAAAAATGCTGAATTCATTGGTATTTCAGTGGGAGTCTTTTGGTAGTTTTTAAACGTTAACTCTCAGTAGGTTGGTGTGTCACGCGGTGTTAAGGGCTTAGCAGTTATGACATGTTTTCTTTACTTATCGTGAGGATTTTGAATGAATTAAGGCAATGTTTTATGCTCCCGAGAATTGAGCATTTGTGATGGAATTATGTCTTACTAAAAAGTGACCGTAGACCACGACTCGCTGAAAACCTAACCTACTACTGGTACACAAGAAGGCAGTCTGGTGGACCCTGGGCTCAACTGCCTTTATTTTCCTCGGATTTAAAGTAAATTACACCATTTAACAGCTGGGTGAACTGTGGGTACCTTGGCTGGGTGTGAACCAACGACGCTGAGAACAGGAGACGAGCGTTGAATCCACCGTCACTAATATTTAATAAGGAGCAATGCCTGGCTGAATGTGTGTGTGTGTGTGTGTTACTCGGAATATCCTGAGGTACGATAAATATATTTGGACTCATTATGCTATACTTTATGAGGGCAAATAATTCACAAAAACGATGACTGTGCGTCGATCTCGTGTTGTAAAGACATATCGAGGTCCCCCCACACACAGTATATATAGCCCAGCAGTGGTACAGAAAACAACAAGGATTTATGGTTGAATTTCGAAACAAAATTCTGTCTGATCGATAATAATTTACTGCAGCGGCGACAGACGTACAAGCCCACCAGCCTAGTGACTCACGCGGCGGCTCCTAGCGGTTTCTCCCGGGGGCCGACACACACACGCGACACTCGCCAACAACTCTTTGTGCTACTTGTTACAGCTTCAGTATATAGTCGTTGAGGATATAAGGTAATTACTGAACGTTAATAACTCTGTTCTTTCACCTCGTAACATAAACTACACTAGTCCATTAACAATTCAGAATGATAACTACCATATCATAAATTACGTTGTTAGGTGATTACTATTGAGTGTCATTAATAACATACAGGTATAAGATACATATATTGCCTTGGTATTAAACACATTATTTTCTAGTTCCAAGAGTAATGGTATTTTGAACATAGAAAAAATTTACTGTTTTAGGGGGTAAATTTGAATATTGTTCAAAGTCTCGATATAGGAACTGAACAGGGTGATTAATGTTATGAGCCGCAACTTACGACACAACACTTCAATTAACTTTCAGAGGACGTGATTGGATATCCTAACAAGAGACTAAATTGTGGTCGGTGACTCATTAGTAGACACTGCAAGTCAATAAATATAAAAGGGTATTTGTACATTTTTAAACTCAATTTCATTCATGTAAGGAAAAAATGCAATACAATTTTCAGCCTTTAAAATTTATCATTACCAACATAACCAGTACATGATCTTATTCTTAATTTTTATTTTTATTTTTTGTGTATTTTTAATATTTTTTTGTACGTCTCTTATTTTTAAGATTTTTTTGTTCTTTAATTTTTATGCAATTTTTATTTTTATATATTTTTTCATCCCATTTTGATCGTTTTATTCCTCTTCCTTTCCGATTTAATTTTTGTAGTTTAAAAAGAGTGTATACGTTTTCCATTCCCCATTTATTTTCCACTTCCCATTTATTTCCCATTCCCATTTATTTCCCACTTCCCATTTATTTCCCACTTCCCATTTATTTCGCACTTCCCATTTATTTCCCACTTCCCATTTATTTTCCATTCCCCATTTATTTTCCACTTCCCATTTATTTCCCATTCCCATTTATTTCCCACTTCCCATTTATTTCCCACTTCCCATTTATTTCGCACTTCCCATTTATTTCCCATTCTTATTCCCCATTTATTTCCACTTCATTTTATTTCCCTATTAAAACCATGACACTACAGGTCGTTTCTCTCTCTCTCTCTCTTACCCATGATTGTTGTTTTTGTTGTTGTTGATATTTGCCTCCCTCTTCAGCCTCTCTATCTCGGCTCGTAACCTCTCCTTCTCCTCGTCTTCCTTAGCGAAGTCGTAGGAGCGCTAAGTCGCTGACAGAATTAGTAGAGGCCGTCTTGGTCTTGGAGGTACTAGGAGATTCACTTTTACTGGGGCTGGGAGGTGCGCCCGACAGTCCCGCACCATCCGATAGGTCTCCGTAATCTGACAGTTCACCAATTCCCGACAGCTCTCCGGTATCCAATAGCCCTCCGGTACCAGTAAGCCCTCCGGTATCCGACAGGTCTCCGTTACCAGCACTCCGCTATCCGACAGTCCTCCGGTATCAGAGAGCCCTGCGTCAGCGACTCCTTCACTGTTATGGGAAGAGGGCCCACTGTTTCTCTCTGGTGAAGTGTTCCTCTTCACCCTCTTCCTCGACCCGGCCTCGCCCTCTGGCGCGGGGTTTACCTGGCAGCGGCGGAGGCGAGCTAAGTGGTGGGGTGCCCGGGTGAAGGGACATCTGTGAGTGCTCTTCCGCATTGTGTCACGGCATCAAGAGGGAAGGAAAGGAAAGGGAAGAAGGGAGGGAAGGAGGGAAGGAAGGAAGGAGAGAGATAACACACGAGTCACGAGAACACCAGGTGATATACAGACATGATGATTAAGGTAAACGTGTGGGTAATAAGTCTGGTGCCTCTCTTATCTCGGGATGGTCTTCTTCAACACCTTTCACCACCTTGATATCACCTTCTCAAAAACACTCACTATCTTTCCAACATTTTTTCTTTCAATTGTAATGAACGTTATTCAAAGGTAAAAAACTTCTGTCCACGTATTAGTCCATTCTACAGGTGGGGATTCAGGTATACGTGAGCGAGCGTGACAAGGCTGGTAAAGAATGTGTGTGTGTGTTCCGTCGACGACCCTCACCCACTAACTGCTCTGCTACCTCCCTCCCCTGGTGGTGGTGATCGCAACTACTGCTACTCGACTGCCTACACCTGCCTGCCTGCCTGCCACCACACTCACTCACCTGCCAATTACTCACACCGCTGCCACTAATCTTTCTTCCTCGTAGTTTTAGTTTTCTTCTGTCACGTGAATCTTTATCTTATTTACGTTTTTTTTATAGAATTGACAAATAATTTTCTGTCAATTTTTTTTCCCAGCAAAAAACTTAATCGCTGTTATTTATGATGATAATTTTTAGTATATATATATATATATATATATATATATATATATATATATATATATATATATATATATATATATATATATATATATATTTATTTATTTATTTATTAGCGTGAAAACGAACGTAAGGAAATGAAGAAATGTTTGGAAATATCAGATAAAGTTCTACAATTTATCTAGAGCAGTTTACAGGGTCAGCAGAAGGGGCGTTCCTCTCTACTGAAGAATTTACAATGTTGGTCCGTCGTCAGGGTAGCCGGCAGGGTCAATATCGGACAAGACTGTATGTAGCGTATGAAAGCATTAACCAGGATCTTTATTGTACGATGGCGTCACTGGAGTGTTGTGGGTAATGGCGTCACTGGGGTGTTGTGGGTAATGACATCACTGGGGTGTTGTGGGTAATGACATCACTGGGGTGTTGTGGGTAATGACATCACTGGGGTGTTGTGGGTAATGACATCACTGGGGTGTTATGGGTAATGAAAGATTTTTTTTTTTACGTCACGGGGCTTTTTGTGTGTAATAACGTCACTATGGTGTGGGTAATGAAGGAGACGATAAGTGCAATAAAGTAGAAATAGTGGATAAAGATAATAAAGACAATGGATAATAATAATAATAATACAAATACTAAATCATAATTACCATAACAAAAAAAAATCACGCCAATTTTGAACGTATAATCCTCCCTGAAAACAAATTATTTCCTTCTCCTCTGTCCGTCTTAATTATCATTTCTCCTCTTTGTTCCCATGACTCTACTTGTGTTGACCTATTAGCGCCTCTCACCTGCCTCAACACCTTACACCAACATTTTAAATAATAACACCCATATGATCCCATCTAGTTGAACTCTTATCTAGGTTTATATGAAGTGCCAGTATTATATTCTTGTCATTTTATCTCTCTACTCTAGTGGGTTTAGGGGGTGTCTTTAGCCTCGTATTATGCTTCTCAGAAGTAGTCATCTTTTTTCCTCTGTTGGTGTTGTCTGTCGTGATGTAAATTATACCATGAAACGTCTGGTTTTATTATGTAATATGGTTAGGGTAGGATAGGGTAGGTTAGGGTAGCATAGGGTAAGTAAGGGTTAGGTTAGGTTAGGGTAGGTTAGGTTGGGGTGTTTAAGTTAGGGTAGCTTGGGTTAGGTTAGGGTAGGGATAGGGTAGGTGTAGGGTGGGTTAGGGTAGGGTTAGGGTAGGTTAGGTGGGGTAGGTTAGGTTAGGGTGGTGGGTATTTGTTAGTTAGGGTAGCTTGGGTTAGGTTGGGTTAGATTAAGTTAGGTTAGGTTAACCACTGTCTGATCACCTCTCAAGACACTTTTACACGAATAACATCCAAAGTCTGTCTCTCATAAAAGGAACATAACTTGCGTAACACAAGATTGATGTAGTCGTTGTCCTGTGTATTGTAAACCTGTGGGGTAATATAAACTAAGTCAGTCAGTTACGTCAACAGTCAGGCTGCGTCCATAAGGCAGTTGTGAGAGAAGTTTGTGTCTTACTAGTGTGATGTTGCTCTTAGTTTTAATATGTAGTGTAATTATATAACCTACCCTACCCTACCGTACCCTACCCTACTGCACCCCTACCCAACCTAACCCCACTCCTACTACCCCACCCTACCCCACCCTACCCTATCCTAATACCTACTCCCATCTACCCAACCCAACCCAACCCAACCCAACCCAACCCAACCCAACCCAACCCAACCCAACCCTATCTACCCTACCCTACCCAACCCAACCCAACCCAACCCAACCCAACCCAACCTAACCCAACCTAACCCAACCCTACCCTACTCCTACCCTACCCAACCCAACTACCCTACTTACCCTACCCAACCCAACCCAACCCAACCCAACCCAACCCAACCTAACCCTACCCAACCCAACCCAACCTAACCCAACCCAACCCAACCTAACCCTACTCCTACCCTACCCAACCCTACCCTACCCTACCCCAACTTAATTCTACCCAACCACCCAACCCAACCCAACCCAACCCTACCCAACCCAACCCAACCCAACCCAACCCTACCCTACCCTACCCAACCCTACTCCTACTGTACCCCAACACCCAACCCAACCCAACCCAACCCAACCCAACCCAACCCAACCCAATAACCTAACTCCAACCTAACCCTACCTAACCCTACCCTACCCTACTCCCACTACCCTACCCTACCCAACCCAACCCAACCCAACCCTACCCTACCCTACCCAACCCAACCCTACCCTACCCAACCCTACCCTACCCTACCCTACTCCTACTCCTACCCAACCCAACCCAACCCAACCCAACCCAACCCAACCCAACCCAACCTTACCTAACCCAACCCTACTCCTACCCTACCCTACCCTACCCAACCCTACCCAACCCTACCGTACCCTACCCTACCCAACCCAACCCAACCCAACTCCAACCCAACCCAACCCAACCCTACCCTACCCTACCCTACCCTCCCCACCCAACCCAACCCAACCCAACCCAACCCAACCCAACCCAACCCAACCCTACCTGAACTCCAACCCAACCCCTACCCAACCCAACCCAACCCAACCCTACCCAACCCAACCTGGGTCCTCCAACCCAACCCTACCCAACCTAACCCAACCCAACCTAAATCTACCCAACCCAACCAACCTAACCCAACCCATCCCAAATCCAACCTAACCCTACCCAACCTACCCAACCCAACCCTACCTAACCCTACCCAACCCAACCCAACCCAACTCACCCAACCTAACCCTACCCAACCCAACCCTACACAACCCTACCCTACCCAGCCCTACCCTACCCTACCCTACTCTACCCTACCCTAGCCTGAGCACCACACACCACAGTGCCCAGGAGTGATCATAAGTCCAGCTGTTATTGAGCGTTCGTCGTTTACTGTTGCATAATTTAGCTAAACTATTACACGTTCAGGCTTGATATTCTGGCACCTATTATGTCTCCCTTTGAAGAGAAAAAATGATTGAATGGCATTACCTTTTATAATTCGGGTTTGTTTTCTTCGGTTCAACCACTAACATCACTTTATACAATGATGTCATTTAGTCAACCAATGATAGAGGTGGTCGGCGGTGACTTTACTGTGACGTCATTTAGTCAACCAATGATAGAGGTGGTCGGCGGTGATTTTACTGTGACGTCATTTAGTCAACCAATGATAGAGGTGGTCGGCGGTGACTTTACTGTGACGTTATTATTCGTATGAAGCATTTCCCGCCACACACACACACGATAACTTTTACAGAAGCAATGACAGAGTTCCCCAAAATGTAAATAAAAATAAAATAATAATAATAAAATAAAGTTAGGAAGAGGAAGAGGAATGAGAATCAGATTAATTAGGTTATAAAGTATGTTTGATCAGCGGGGCGGGCGGGGGTGTGTGCGACAGTTGCCAGGCAGTGAATATAACTCACCAATGGCTGGCCACACGACGCCGCTTACCTCACTACATACTTCCCTAACCCTCACCACATACTTCCCTAGCCCTCACCACATACTTCCCTCACCCTCACCACATAATCTCCCTCACCCTCACCACATAACCTCCCTCAAACACCTGTGACCTCTGTCTTCTTGGTACATAAATCTTTTTCCGTACATTTAACAATATTTTATAGGCCGTTTCGAAAATATAAATAAGTTTCATTCAAAATAAATTACATATTGTTATTTTATCTCAATTTTAAAGCTTGTATTTTAATCCCGGTTAAATTATTGTAGTATTAGCAATGGCATCGAATTCTTTATATTTAACTTCCCTCGTGTGACTCTCAGTATCAACACACGTCACTCTTTAACTACGTGGAAACTCATCATTGTCATTATCATCGTCATTATCATCATTATCACCATCATCATCATCATCATCATCCAATATGGTGTTCTCTAATCTCTAAACTCCATCACGTTTCTATATCCATCAGCAACGTGTCAATCTTTTAAATAATAATGTCAGTAATTCAGTCACTCCTCACAACACACACACACACACACACACACACACACACAAAAACTAGGTTACACAAGAGGTACCAAACATAACATATAACCTAGCGTGTGGGAGACATTACCTGGTACAGTAAGGAAACGTATGTATTCGTGTATTATAAGATCGAGTTCCCGTTACAGTATTACAGAAAGTTGGTTTTATATGTCTGTATCGTCAGGTTTATGTTACAGTGATGGTA